TGAGGGTAAGAAAGAGGTCACAAAAGAAGCCCTATTTGCTCTTGTGAGCCATCCTAATTAAAAAAAAAAAACAACAACAACTATTAACTCACTGAATTGCTTGCTCCTTAGCTATTGCTTACCATTAACCTCCATTGAAAAAGATGGAAGATTTAGTGTTCTCAACATCTGTAAAATAGAGAATTGAAATTGTTAAGGCAGTAAAAGTTTAAGATAAATTATTTTATAAAACTAAGAATCTGAATGATAATGAACATTTTATTTTTTTTAATTTTTTATTAATTACACTTTATTCATTTTGTATCCCCCCATAAGCCCCTCCCTCCTCCCCTCCCGATCCCACCCTCCCTCCCCTTTCTGCATGCATGTCACTCCCCAAGTCCACTGATAGGGGACGTTCTCCTCTTCTTTCTGATCTTAGTCTATCAGTTCTCATCAAAAGTGGCTGCATTGTCCTCTACTGTGGCCTGATAAGGCTGCTCCCCCCTCAGGGGGAAGTGATCAACGAGCAGGCCAATCAGATTATGTCAGAGGCAGTCCCTCTTCCCATTACTATGTAACCCACTTGGACACTGAACTGCCATGGGCTACACCTGTGTAGGGGTTCCAGGTCATCTCCACGAATAGTCCTTGGTTGGAGTATGAGTCTCTGGGAAGTTCCCTGTGTTCAAATTATCTTGTTCTGTTGCTCTCCTTGTGGAGTTCCTGTCCCCTCCAGCTCTTACTATTTCCCACTTCTTACATAGAATTCCATTCACTCTGCCCATCAGTTGGCCATCAGGCTCAGCATCTGCTTTGACAGTCTATACTGCAGAAGCTTTCAGAGGTCCTCTGTGGCAGGTTTCAAGGTTGTTTCCTGTTTTCTTCTGGCTTTCAGAGGCCCTCTGTAGCAGGTTCTGAGGTTGTTTCCTATTTTCTTTTTCTTCTGATGTCCATCCTCTTTGCCTTTCAGGATGGGGATTGAACATTTTAGTTAGGGTCCTCTCTTTTGCTTAGTTTGTTTAGATGTACAGATTTTAGTGGGTTTATTCTATATTGTATGTTTATATGAGTGAGTGTATACCATGCGTGTCTTTTTGCTTCTGGGACAACTCACTCAGGATGATCCTTTCCAGGTCCCACCATTTACCTGGAAATTTTATGATTTCCTTATTTTTCATTGCTGAGTAATACTCCATTGTATAGATGTACCACAGTTTCTGCATCCATTCTTCAGTTGAGGGGCATCTGGGTTGTTTCCAGCTTCTGGCTATTACAAATAAAGCTGCTACAAACATGGTTGAGCAAATAAATGTCCTTTGTGTGTACTTGCGCCTCTTTTGGGTATATGCCTAGGAGTGGTATGGCTGGATCTTGAGGAAGCACTATTCCTAGTTGTCTGAGAAAGCGCCAAATTGATTTCCAGAGTGGTTGTACCAGTTTACATTCTCACCAGCAGTGGAGAAGGGTTCCCCTTTCTCCACAACCTCTCCAGCATGTGTTGTCCCTTGAGTTTTTCATCTTGGCCATTCTGATGGGTGTAAGGTGAAATCTCAGGGTTGTTTTGATTTGCATTTCCCTAGTGGCTAATGAGGTTGAGCATTTCTTTAAGTGCTTCTCTGCCATTCGATATTCCTCTACAGAGAATTCTCTCTTTAGCTCTGTTCCCCAAATTTAAAGACAACATATTCTGTAGTTTTAATAATATGGTACCACATCACACATAGTAAACAAATGTATGTGTATAACTTGAAAATCAAAGCTAATATCTGCCTCTGGAGTGGTGGTGGTGGGGTGCTTTTGTCCTTTTCCATTATATGTCAATCTGCTGTAGGCATCTGTCACATTGTGTAAGAAAATAAGTAACTATGGTAGTGATGATAGGATCAGGCAGGGGAAATTTACAATAGTTAAATTATTTCACAATAATCTTCTTTTTTACTGTCTACATATAGTTTTAAGACAACAAATTTTTATTAATTAATTCAATTTATATCTCAGTCATAGGTCTCTCCCTCCTCACCTTCCAGTCCCACCCTTCCTCCCAAATACCCTCTCCCCTTTCCTCCCCTGTGGCCCATTAGGGAGTCCCATTAGGGAAAAGTGATCAGAAAGCAGGCAACATGGTCTGTGTTAGAGATATTCCCCACTCCCCTAACTAGTGAGCCTATGTGAAGCCTAAGATATTCGTCAGACTTAGGTCTGGGCATTGTAGTATGTCTATCCTGTACTATATGACTAAAACCTGCTCATAAGTGAGTAGATATGTCTTTCTGGGTCTGTGTTACCTCACTCAGGATGATCTTTTCTAGTTCCACCCATTTGCCTGCAAATTTCATGATTTCCTTGTTTTTAATGGCTGAACAGTATCCCGTTGTGTAAATGTACTGCAGTTTCTTTATCCATTCCTCAGCTGAGGGACATCTAGGTTGTTTCCAGTTTCTGGCTATTATGAATACAGCTGCTATGAACATGGTTGAGCAAATGTCCTCGTTGTATGGTGGAGCATCTTTTGGTATGTGCTGTAGCTGGGAGTGGTGTAGCTGGGATAATCTTAAATAGGGTTAGTGAGAAGACTCAGCCAGTGGAGGCATTGCAGGCTAGAATTCAATTCCTGCAACCTACATGTTGGAAAGAGAGATCCAGCTCTCACGAGTTGTCCTCTGACTTCCATAAATGCACTGCAGCATGCATGTCACATAATATACATGTGTGTCTATAACATATAATGTATATATGCATGTATTTTGATAAATTAATGTTAAAATGAACTATACATTTATATTTTCTTACATTGGTGGCTGGCATGATTTAAAAACAGATAAGTGACTAATTTCATACTCTGGTCTTGGGATCGTTGGTAACAGATTAGAATGACAAATTGGCAGGCATGGGCTTCAAAATCACATCTCATCCAGTCACTGTCACGTTCTGGCCTGACTGCTATGCTCTCAAGCCAGGCAGCAGTAAGATGTGTACCTCTTTAAGTCCATAAGGAAGAGTCATGAAGATAGATCTTCCCTTGGTCATGAAATGAGCCTCAACAAAAATTAACACACTAGGTGTTCTCTGACCTAAGGGAATCAAACTACAAATTAATAACTAAAAGATGGAAGCTGGGGAGATGGCTAGGTGGGGCAAGCTGCTTGCTTTGTAAGCGTAAGGGTCCAGGTTTACATCCCTGCCATTCACATAAGTGCTGGGACACGAATGGACATTTGCTTCTGATCTTAGTACCAGGGAGCCAGAGACAGGAGAATCCCTGCCCCTTGCTACCTCGACATTCTAGACTCTGAAGTCACTGAAGAGGTGACTCAGTGTGGAACTCCCCTTTCACGGGATCTGACTCTTCATTCTGAACCCCAAGGGCACAAGGCATGCACATGATGCCAAAATACCCTAGCTCAGAAGACAAAATCAACAAATGTTTTTAAGTGAAAAGATACGGTGATACACAGAGAAAACTTGTCTCAAAAAAAAAAAAAAACGCAGTAATTTTTAAAAATTGTTTGAGAACTCCATACAAGCACTATCTTTACACAATTTTCCAGTCCCCTCCAATTTTTCCCATGTGTCCACACAGTTCCTTCTCAAATTCATGACATCTTAGTTATTATTATTGTACCTACACACACACACACACACACACACACACACACACACATCTAAAGTCCATTCGCTATTGCTCATATGCACCTGTCTTTGGGGATGACCACTTGGAAATGGACAAACTATAAAGCGGCTCATTTCTGAAGATGTAGCCACAGATTGCCTTTATCCCTTTGTCTAGGAGTGGGGCCTTGTAAAATGTCCCTATCCCCGCTGACATGTCAACTGGTGTTGTCATTGTGTAAATCTTCTTTAGGCAGCCATACGGCTGCAACGTCGTGGGAGTAGCCTTCCTGTTGCATCAAGAAGACGCTGTCTAGCAGCCAGCAGCATAGTCCTCTGATTTATATCCCTGCTTCCGGGATGCTTCCTGTACCTGTATTATGGATGTTGAGACTACATTGGGTCTGGGTACCCTGTCATCATTTATGCTCAGCATTTTGACCAGTTTGGGATTCCTGAAGTAACCTCTGGCCCAAAGCAAAAGGAAGTGTCTTTAAGGAAGCATGAGAGCCACACTTATCTGTAGCTATAAGAAGTATTTAAAACACAGTTAGAAATTATATTGCCTTAGAAAAATAGCAGTAGAGGTTACGCTTTAGGGTCTATGATCTCTCCATCCACAGCTGACTAGGTTTAGAATACCAAGCACAAATTCCTTCTGATTGAAAAGGCCTAGTGTCCAATTAAATAACCATTGGTTACCACCCAAGGTAAAGAATGCCACAGTTGTACCAGCCAGAAAAATAATAATACAGAATATAGTAATGTATAATACAAATAACATATAATAAAATAATGCAGTCATAAAAGAGAATTAACATTTAACAAGTAAATGACAATCAGCTTGCAAAAAAGGCAGTAATATAGAGAGCACTTGATGAAGGCACTTGACATCAACTTTTGTCCTCCAGGAGCAAAAGGGACACACGAGATAACAAGTTCCCATATCCAGAATTAACGTCCTACTAAAGAAGCCAAGAGTCAAGAATAAAGCTTAGTGGGAACTGCAAAATCGTCATCACTAAGTGGAGACAAAACTGAGAAATCAGAATTAAAATCCTGAGTGGAGAGGTCAGTTAGAAACCCGGGGCTGCAAGTAGAGAGAGAGCTTTCCTCCAGCGACACAGATGGTTTACCATCTTCCAGTTTAAAACCAAGGCACTAAATTTTGCTGTCCGTTCTGGTCACAGTGAACATCAACAGAGAAGCTTAGGAATACCGGGAGCTTGGAAATATTGAATTTTCTCTGTTACACAGTGACATGGCCAGGTGACCAAATATATTAGGCACGGCCCTGCAGGGGCTGGCTGACACACAACCACCAGCAGCGGATCACGTGACTGTGGCTTTTGGCAAGACCGGCTAAGCAGAGATCGTAAACTTCAGCTGGCTGGCTGACAGCAGTTCTCACCAGTTGTGTTCACGGTCATCAAAGAGTTAAACTCTAGACATCTGCTAGAGTCCCGGGAGGAAGGAATGGGGACTGTGACTCACTTTCCTCTAAACAGTGCTAGTGAATAAATGGTGCTCCAGGACTCCTTGCTTCACATTTCCCAAAAGTAAGTTCCTGTGACTTTTGTTTTCCTTTGTGGGTTTATTTGTTTGGGCTTCAGGATTATTGTTGTTATTATAATAAAACTGGACAGTTTTATGAGCTGTTTTATGCTAACCATCCATGCCAAAGTTATTTTAAAAATCAATGGACTATTTTGAAATGTTTTGATGTCTGGCGTTTAATATTAAATAGAGCGAGGTGTTGAATTAAAATGTGTTTTTAAAGTATGCAATTAGGATGCTCTGTTGGGAAATGTGTGTGGGAGTGGGCTGGGGCTGGCCAACAGACTGAAGGTGAAGAACTGAGATGCTTCAGGATTGGGTGGAAGGCCTGTGCTGTTTCTGGAGTCGAATGCTTTGATCTGTCATTTGACAGGTTTGGAGTATGGCTTTTCTGAGTTGGAGACTGCTTCCCACGAGTGTTCACAGAACACTTTTGATGGAGTTAGCAATCTGTGTCCATTCTAGGATCTTGGACTCTTCGGACACCCTCAGTGGAATCAGAATGTGAAGTGTGTAGGGTTTCCTTCTCACAGTCTAGAAGTGTCAGGCTCCCACAAGCCTAAGCATTCCAGACTGAATTTAACAAGAGGGGAGGAGGAAAATTAATCACACACACACACACACACACACACACACACACACACTTGTTTAAGGAAGATTTGTGTGGTTAGTCTTTTTACAAACTCACACCAGTAGTGGAGAGACAAGGAGGCAATGTTGATTTACAAATAAAATCAAAGAAGCTGCAGGCAGAGTGCAGTTGCCATGCTGTCTGGGGCTGTGGCTGATTCTCTGATGAGATCTCTGTTTACAGAGCTCCACCACGCCAACAGCCTACACGGCCCCCTCAAGAGTTGTTCCCTCTGGATTATCAGGACTGGAAACAATCTGTGGGGCTCCTTAGCTCCCCTTACTGGATGCTCCGACTTGATAGAGCTCCACTCTGGGTGCCCTTTCATTCCCTCTCCCTTCCTTGTCTCATTTATTTTCTCCATCAGTCAGCCTTGCCTCTGAGCCTCCTTAGACAGCCCTGTGCAGGCTCCTCCTCTGGCAATACCCACCCCCAGATTTTGCTTTGGCCATTGTGTCTCCCATTAAATTGACCAGTCTGGACTTATCATCCAAACTTTGGCTCTAGAAAATACAGCACTGTGTGAGCTCTCAGCCCAGGGATGTGGCGAGAGCTTCTGCTCAGGACCCACCCATCCTTGTTATGAAGGCCCACTGTGTGGTGTGGAGCACTTGCTTCAGAACTCAGGATATAAAACCAAATTTACAGTATCCACGAGGGAGCTACTGACTTTGTGGTCAAAGCCCTGATCCATTCATGTCCCCAGCATGCTTCCCAGAAAGCTGATAAGCATCAGATTCTGAAGAATCTTCCCTTCCATAATTCAGCTTAGATCTCCTATTTCCTCCCACCAGAAGTGTCTTTGAAGAGTTTTTACATCCTATATTTTTCGGAAGAGGCTCAGCAGAATGTAACTGCATAGTAGGGTTCGTTGAAGAAGTTGTGGCAGGAAGTCTTGATATGACACACTGATGCATCTTTTGCAAGACGCTTTACACTCCTGTTTAATTAAATATGTGTGCAAATTTCCTTACCAAATCACCCACTAATATTTACACACACACACACACACACACACACACACACACACACACAGGAACATACCCACCCACTCTCTCTCTCTCTCTCTCTCTCTCTCTCTCTCTCTCTCTCTCTTATGCATGGTCTTTGCTCAGTGTTGAATCTACTAAAGGTGTGATTTGCTATACTCCTGTGGGTAAGCCTGTTCCGTTCTGCTAATGTAGTCTCTATAGCAGCATAATGCTGCTCTCTTCAGTCAATTCTGCACAAAGCCCATGAGACAAATTCCAGTGTACACAGGCTTTCTTACACACAGGACGAAAGATCATAAATATCCTAATCCAGATGAAGCCAGTCCAAACCCACAAGCAGAGGTAAAAAAAAAAAAAAAATATGAGACCCCTTATGTAATCAATTGACACTAGCAGATTATATTAGATATAAATATAACAATGGAGTAAACAGTATGCTAAAATGCAAAACATAAAATGCAATACAATTATGAATCAATACTTCAGGAAAGTAGGAAAACAACGGACATTCCTTATTCTAATAAAGACCTGACAAAAAATGCAGAGAATGCCACTCCTAATGGTGAAAATTTCCTGTATCTCTTAAACTGGAAAGATAATGTTGTAGCCGGGCTGTTCTCACCCAGAGAAGAAGCCAGGACAAGCTATGAATTTGAAGCCGTTATTGAGCCACACAGACCTGGCCATTACATGTCAAGTCCAGAGGCAGCCCTGAGCTGGATGAGCAGGTGTTTTATAAAGGTAAAAACCACAAGTTTGGGGTATCCCTTTGTTAGCAAGCATGACAGGCTATGAACTTTTAATAAGAAAAGGGCACAGATGTGTCAGCACGGTATCTCTGTTTGGTCAGGGAACAGAAACCTTGTGGTTCCAGAAGTTGAACATTGTAGGTGAGCAAACGTCACAGTAAGCACTGTGCATGCCAGAGGGGCAGGCTGACCTCAGTTTCAGCCCCAGGTCAGGTTAGGATTTAGCAAATATGTTTTCTCACTTCACTAAGGGCATCCGCTATTACTGTAGCTCTTCAGCCTTGCATTTCTGTCCTTCCCTACACACAAGGTCCAGGTGTCATGGAAGCAACTAAGGGGGCAATTTTTAAGGTGACATCTCTGTATTAGAGCACAGAGGGCTTGGTCTTTAAAATGCCATAGTAATGAGGGAATTCATTGAGAGCTTTAGAAACAAGATTTATATATGCATAGTATCAGTAGAATCTCGGTAAACTAGCAATTACCAAGCCAAGCCATGCAATACACAATGCTAAATGCAAGCTAGAAACACACAAATATTCAGTAAATCTTCTAGAGAGAATCAAAAAATTATATATTACTAGGGAAATAATCTAGTTAAGTGGAAAGCAAATTTACATAGAAGAAAACTTAGCAGTGTAAAATTTTAACTCTATTAAATTAGTAAATTTAGGGTCATCGCAATTAGCACCCCTTTCCTTCCTTCCTTTCTTCCTTCCTAAACTTAAAAAAAAAAACCTTTTAAATAATTTTATCTATATATTCTTCCCACCCGCATCCCTACACCTTCCCTACCTATCTGCCTCTCCACTTCATGTATTTTTTTTTTTTTACATCACTGAGTTAAATTAGCACTGAGTTAAATTAGCACATTATGCACGTGTGTGTGGAGTCATGTGCTAGGTCATGACTAGGGCAGCTTGCCAATCCCTGCCACACACACAGAGAAAAGTAACTCTCCCTCCCTCAGCAGCTATCAGCTGCCATTAGCTCCTAAGCTAGCAGCTGGGCCTCTGGAGCAGCTCTTGCCTCTGTTAAAGTTTTTAAGTCTCTTGATCTTGTGGAGGTCTCCTTCAGGTCAATGCAGCCGCGGTCACATGTGTGCCCGCTCTACCGTGTCCGGAGACCGGCCTTTCAGAGCCTGCCTTCTCGTCCTCGGGCTCTCACGTTCTTTCTGTCACCTCTTCTATGACATCAGCTGCATCTTGGAAGGGGGTTGATGTAGTCCCGTCTAATGGCTCTGCACTCACGGGGCCGTGTTTATTCCCAGCACTTTGAGCAGTTGAAGTCGCTAGCTACTGCCTTCTGCAATAAGAAACTTCTCCCACCTGGGTTCATGAGAACACATTAGTTACTGTACCAGGGGACTGTGGGAATCACTGAAACCAAGATTATATGCTGACTCACATACAATAAAATACAATTTCTGCTCACTGAGCCATATATGTGAGGTCGGTTGTTGGCTGTTAGCCTAAAAATTTTAAGGTTCCAGCTATTGCTTGACTATACCATCTCCAAAGTCTTCTAGAGAGTAAAAATGGAAAATAAAAAGAGAAATCCATCTTTTTTTTTTTTCCTTAGGTTAGGTTAGGACTCACAAATAGCATGTATTTCTCCTTTTAGCCGGTGGAATATACGCTGGCTAAAAGAAATTCCTTTGTCATTGTTTATTCTTGTTGGATATCAGATCATGGCTATAAAACCCAAGCTGGTCAGTGGATATGGATGTGGCCTTCTGCTTTGCTTTTGTGCTTTACCAGATATAAGCTATAATGCGTGCCAGTGCATGTTTAAATTGCTCCGTCCTGAGGAAGTTCTGGGAAAGGGCTGCTCTGTTAATGTTTAGTATGTGCTTACTGGCATTTGTTTACATATTTTCCTGAACTCAAACTACCCTCTTTAGATCATTGTTTTCTTTGTTAAATTCATGTATAAAAGCACACTGAAACTGAAGTCAGATGTTCTACAGTATTAGACTGTGGTCCACCCCATTCTTTCAGATCCTCAGATCCCAGGCCCGGCAGACAAGATCTGCACAGGTTGGCTGAAAAGTCAACAGAAAAAAGGTGATAAGTCTTCTTGAAGGGTTGGTGGTAACTCACACAGGAGGTAAATGTTAGGACAGTTAAGACCACTGTAAAACAACTAGGTGAAGGTCTTTCCTAGTGTTTGGGAACGTTTTCTATGAAGCTCCATCTCTGTGTTGCGTGTAAGAAATGCTGCAACAAGACTAATTGAAAGCATACACCAATTAAATCTCTTATACACATACTACTCTAACATTTGAGAAGACATAAAAGAAAAAGAGTTTGCCAGTAGCATCTTAGGTCCTATTGTCTCATACCTTATATATACAAGCTTACCTACCACAGGTAAAATATATATATAAAAAAAAAACAAACAATTAAGACCTTTTGAAGAAAGTCAAGAATATGTACATATAATTTTCAAAGATGGAAATGCTTTCCTCTTAATAATTTTTATTTGTATGTATGTATATGCCTGCTTTGATGTATGTTCACCATATGTGCAGGCTCTTCCAGAGACCAGAAAATGATGTTCTGTCCCTTGGAACTGGTGATTTTGAGCTGCCCAGTGTGAATGCTGGGAACTGAACGTGGCTCCTCTGTAAGAGCTGCCAGTGCTCTCAACAACTGAACCATCCTTTCAGACCCAGAAGTTCCTCCTAAATAAGAAATGCACATAAAGTATAAGGTCGGGGGGAGTCGTTAAAATGGACTACAACTAAACAAAAATGGGTACGGTAAATGAGCTTGGAAGTCCTCCTCTGTGGCCTAACAGTACTGCTCCTCCCTCGGGGGTCGGGGGGAGGTCAAAGAGCCTGCCATTGAGTTCAAGTCAGAAATAGTCCCTGTTCCCCTTACTAGGGTACCCACTTGGACACTGAGCTACCATGGGCTACATCTGAGCAGAGGTTCTAGGTTATATCCATACATGGTCCTTGGTTGGAGAAACAGTCTCATAAAAGACTCCTGTGCCCAGATATATTTGGTCCTTTGCAGGTCATATTAACTCCCCCTTCTTTCATATGATTCCCTGTACTCTGCAGAAGGTTTGGTTATGAGTCTTAGTATCTGCTTTGATACACCGCTAGGTAAAGTCTTTCAGAGGCCCTCTGTGGTAGGCTCCTGTCCTGTTACTTGTTTTCTCCTACGTCCAATGTCTATCCCATTTGTCTTTCTAAGGGAGGATTGATCATCTTACCCCTGGAACTCTTTCTTGTTTATCTTCTTTAGGTGTACAGACTTCAGTATGTTTATCCTGTCTTATAGGCCTATATAAGTGAGTATATACCATGTGTGTCTTTCTGCTTTTGGGATACCTCACTCAGGATGATAGTTTCTAGGGTCCCACCATTTGCCTGCAAATTTCATGATTTCCTTGTTTTTAATTGCTGAGTAGTATTCTATTGTGTAAAAGTACCACAATTTCTGTATCCATTCCTCCTCACTTAAGGGACATCTGGGTTGTTTCCAGGTTCTGGCTATTATGAATAAAGCTGCTACAAACATGGTTGAGTAAATGTCCTTAAGTACTTGATCATCTTTTGGATAAATGCCTAGGAGTGGTATAGATGGATCTTGAGAAAGCATTATTGTCTTAAAAAGTGCCAGATTGATTTCCAAAGTGGTTGTACAAATTTGTATTCCCATCAACAATGGAGGAGGGTTCTCCTTTCTCCACAACCTCTCCAGCATGTGTTGCTACTTGAGGTTTTGATCTTAGCCATTCTGATGGGTGTCAGGTGAAATTTCAGGGTCATTTTGATTTGTATCTCTCTGATGGCTATGGACGAGCATTTCTTTAAGTGTTTTTCTGCCATTCTGTATTCCTCTACTGAGAAGTTTCTGTTTAACTCTGTACCCCATTTTTTTAATCGGATTGCTTGATTTCTTGCTCTTAATAACTGAGTACTAGTCCCACAAAGCACATTTTGAAATATAAAAATTAAGGATATTGTTTGTGTAATCTTTTAGGTCTTAAACTCATGACTTTCTGGCCTCCATACTTTAATAATTTTTCATAGAAAAACAGTGCAAATCTTAAAGTCTTCTCACAGAAAAAAAATACTGGAATATTCTTTCTATCAGAAATATCGGAGATTGTGAAATTGTCTAAGGTTAGTTCCTATATAATTTATTCAGATTCTTAAACAAGCAATATAGTATAGGAATTTTAAGTAAGGTGTCTAAGGATGAGTTTTCATGCACCAGAGAAAGTGTGCATGCGCCTTGCCCTGGGCATAATTTGAAAACAAAAACCATGAAGTGATTAATATAGGAGAAGATCAAGACAATCAATGATTAAATGATAATAGGCTGACAAATATGAATATGGATGGAGAATTCAAAAGGGTATTCCAGGGCTGGGGAGATTATTCAAGGGAGAATCTCTTGGATAGGGAGAAAGTGTGTTGACAAAGTGGACAGTCCATGAGGGTAAACCATAGTCTCATGAACTAGAGTGAGGCTGGGTTGGTGTCCACATTTCCCTTTCAGGGCCTGCAGAGTAGCTTCCCTCATCAAAGAGACTAGAACATAGGGTGAAGGTTCCATGTAGGCACCAGCTCAACTTCTCCATGTTCAGTGAGTTGTGTGGGTGTTGTCCTTGGCAGCGGGGTCCCACTGTCACTGTGCAAAGAGCAACCCTGTGTCTTAGCAACAACCCGAGTTGGTTTGGGGATTTCCATAGGGCCTACTTGGCCAACAGCTCAATTGACTGCAACCCAGTCCTAGTATTTCCTAGTCCCTGGAAGCCTTGCCGGGCGACAAGCGATGGCCTGGTGAGGCTCTGTGTCCCTCATTATTAGGAGTCCTCACTAGAATCACCTTGAAAGCAGAACGTTTCCATTGCACTAGGTTTCCATGCAATCCCTCAAATATCCCCCAATCCCAGGCATTTCTCCCCACTCTCTCCCCCACCCGATCTTTCCCATCACCCCGATCTCCCTGCTCCTATCCCCACCTGCCCCCAGACCACCCATAAGATCTATTCTACCACCACTACCATTACCACCCTCTCCCCCCAGACAGAGATCCATGAATGCTCTGGACAGCCCTCTTTACCTAACCCCTCTGGGTCTGTGGTTTGCAGCTTGGCTATCATTTACTTAACAGCCAATATCCACTTACAAATGAATACACACCATACTTATCTTTCTGAACTTTGGTTACCTCACACAGGTAATTTTTTTTTTCTAATTGCATCCATTTGTCTGCAAATTTCATGATGTCATTTTTTCAAACAGCTGAGTAAAACTCCATTGTGTAAACGTACCACATTTTCTATATCCATTCTTCTGCTGAGGGCCATCTAGGTTTGTTTCCAGTTTCTGCCTGTTAAGAATAAAGCTGCCATGAACATGGTTGTGCAGATGTCCCTGTGGAAGAACGAACCATCCTTTGGGTATATGCCCAAGAGCACATTTATTCTTCTTCAACACTTTGCATTTACTTTGATCTCTCCACTTCTTTCTCATTAAGCAGGGCAACATGGTCAAGCGAGAGATAAGTGTGTGCCAACAAACTTGTGCTCTATTACAGAAGAACCTCCTCAAAAAATGGAGAATGAAAAGAGAGACCATAATGGTATGACTCAATGTCATTGTCTGCTGATGATACAAAAATGTATTTGTCTGAGAATTATGTGCGCTTTTCTTGTTTATTGCCTGAACACTCAAAAATATTAATGAGTGACCTTCCCTTATACAGAAGGAGCTGTTTTTTTTAGGCCATGAATATATTTGAAGAGACTTTAATTGGTTTAAGTACATTACTCCTGTCCAGAAATTCAGAATTCAGCACAGATTGTTTTTTTAAATCACTGGTCATATTTCTTAATAGTGGTACCACTCATGGACCCAAGAGCTAGGATGATGGTATTCTAAAGCTGGGAGTAATAAAGCAGCCCACAGAAAAGGATATTTGGCATTTTCTCATTTAAATTTTTTTCTTGTTTAAAAAATTTGCTTCAAAAAATATCAGAAAAGGTTGGACACACATTTGGTGCCAAGCAAAATGTATTGTGACAAATTTCTAAGCTTATGCGTTGGGGAAATGACATAATTTCTCATCAGGAATTTGTGAATAGCTAGGGTTTATAGCTACCAAATTAGGTGGCACCCCTCAGATCATCACCACTCTGCTGAGTGTCCATTAAAATATTTTGGTGTGTAATCATGATGCTGTAACTACATTATGTTGTCATGGTAACACCCAGATTTGCAGCCACCCAAAGACATCATAAACTGTTTGCCAAGGTAAAAAAACACCAGGTGATAATAATGTAAACCACAGATGGCTGCACTTCTTATTTTCTCATGAGTACCTGCCTCAGCACAGCTTACTAAGAGGCCCAACGCATTCACATTCCTCTTAAGAGCTGTCGAATCATTTCTGAATTCGTGCCCCACACGCTTCATGTCGTTTGTGTCTAAGACACAAGCCGGAGTTTTACAAAGACGGAGGCAAATTTGATGGCAAAAAGGTTGCAGATGAAGAATTTGGAACCCTAATCTTCTCCCTGTTATCGGGGTGTGCAGGAATGGCTGAGCTCTTTGCTCCTTCTGCTTCTGTTGCATTGGTACCCTCACGGCCACGAAGCGACAGACTTTTCTGCCGTGCCCACCAAGGACCTGGGCCGAGCAGATTCATTCAGACAATCTGGGTTCACTTTGGCCTACACCCCTGTCACCAGCGTGACACAACAGATAATGGAGAAGGTGGCTGCTGCCTCTTTCATGACAGGTATGTGCTCTATCGACCCAAGAGTCGGTATTTGATTCGTATCCCTTTTTATTCTTTTAAGCCTTAACAAGATACACAGCATTGAGCATAGTGTCTACAGAAAAGATGATTTTAGTGATATCAGCATAGGCACTGGGGTATATTTTGAATTTTTCCATTCTTTATTGACCTAATTAAATATATTATCAGGGTGGCTAGAGAGAGGGCTCAGCAGTTAAGAACACTTGTAGCTCTTTCAGAGAGCCTGAATCGAGTTCTCAGCACGCAGCTGACAACTATCTGTAACTATGGCAGCTCACAACTATCCGTAACTCCAGTTCCAGAGGATCGGACACCCTCTTCTGACCTCCTCAGGAACCAGGAATGCACATGGTACACATACATACATGAAGGCAAAACACTCATACATACAAAACATATTATTTAAGGGTTCATTTTTTTCTTTTTTGTCTATTTTTTAATTTTTTAGTATTAGTTACAGCTTATTAACTCTGTATCCCAGCTGTATCCCTCTCCCTCATTCCCTCCCAATACCACCCTCCCTCCCTCATCTCCTCCTTGTCCCTTTCCAAGTCCACTAATAGGGGAGGACTGCCTCCCCTTTCATCTGACCCTGGTTTATCAGGTATCTTCAGGCCTGGCTGCAAAGTCCTCCTCATACAAGAATACAAGACTGTATTGCTACTTCTGCTTACTATAAACCAGTGCCTGATTTATACCATCTTGTATTTATTAAAATGATGACAGTATAAATAATTTAGCTGATACCATATGATACGATACTCTATTTTATTTAAGTTGGCACAATAATCAAATATATAGAAATAAAATAATTAATTATCATTAATTATTTCTTTTGACTATGCCCAGATAGAACTTTAGACACATTTTCCCCAAACTTGTATGTTGACAAATGTATTCGGTCAGTAAATGAGTCAATATTATTTTCATGAAGGACTCTTCTGAATGATGTCAGACTTGACATCTCAAAGTTGCCCCTCTCCACAATCCACTAACAACAGTGTCCCCATTCTCTCATCGGCAGATAGAAAAGTCTTGGGACTGCTGGATGAAGAAAGCACCAGGGAATTAACAGAAAGTCATCAGGAAATAATAAGAGTCATTTTTTCTGACACATTCTCATATCATCTGAAATTCGAGTTTGGACAAAGAATCCCAGTATGGAAAGAACACAAGGACCATGAAGGTAGCTCTTCAGATATCTAGTCCCACTATTCTGCTTCAGTGATGTTGACTAGTTTATGAAGATAGAAGTTATACTGTGAAATTAGACAACCTCTGAAAATGTATATTCATGTTTAAATGTACTAACATATTCCATGCTCTATATGCGTAGATGCATATATGCTTAGCTGTGTATATATATACACAAATCTATATGTGTATATACATTTCAATGCAAATAGTGTTATTTGTAATATAAAACTGTAAAATATTTAAATATGAAATAAGAAAACCTCTCTTCAGATAAGATCAGCTACATTCTGGGTGATATATCCATAGACTAGATTTCTATTCAAATGCCTAAAGCTACATGAAAGAGAATTTTCCAAAATTCCGTGGTAAAAAGGGCACCCACCTCCAGGGGACCAGGTAATTATTGGACTTATCTACATTTTTGCCTGTTACAGCAACCAAGAGATACAGGTGTGAGAAACAATTAAGATGAGATCTTGAGTTTGAGAAAAGTGGAGACTCCTACACTAACCTGGAAGGGCAGTATAACAGCAAGATAGCAGACAAAGTTACCTACATAAGAGCAAGAGAGCACACAAGATCACCTTCATAACAAAAGTAAACCAAGTCGCTGGCACGACCAACAGAAGAGTAGACAGGTTCACACGCATATTCAACAGTAGAGTAGACAAGATCGGCTGTTATCAGAGGAAGACTAAAATGTTGTCTTCCCTAGGGTTCTGGATGATGATAGGAAAATTCACCTTTGGAAAAGTGTAATCTCAGCTCACCTTCTTTGGGTTTAGAATTATGTATTACTTTTCCCATGTGGCCTCGGAAAGCCCCATTAGTAATATGTGAACCAAAATAATCCCCCCTTTCCTCAGTTATTTTACTGTAGCAAAGGGACACATAACTAATACATACATTACAGAATATCCTGGCTGACAAATATGTACTTATGAGAAGGTGTATATAAAGATTTTCAATATGATGTTTCTATTAATTCTTTGAGAACTTCATGCAATGTATTTTGATCATAATTATCTGCCACTCTGTCCCATAACTGCTCCCCGACCCATTTCCAACTTCACCTCCCAATTTCGTGTCCTGTTTTTTTAATGTGTGTTTGTATATAGCTGGCTCCATGCATGCATGCAATACTCATGGGATAGTGCTTGCGCGCACGTGTGTGTGTGTGTGTGTGAGAGAGAGAGAGAGAGAGAGAGATAAAGAGAGATTTGGATGCTCAGAGGCCATTGAATCTCTTGGAGCTGGAATTAAATACACACATGTAGTAAACAGGCACAAATCCAGACAAAACACTCATACGTCTAAAACAAAATAAAAACAAAATTTTAAAAAGGGATCATCGTGGGAGAGGGTGTGGAAAGACTTTAAACGTCAGAAGAATAGGAAGTTTTTCATGAGGCTGTGTCTTCTAGAAATGTCATAAAAATACATTCATGAAGTCTTAGCAACATGACATAAACAAGTACGACACCAACATACAGGCTAATGTGGATGTAGAAAAGTTCAAGAGCCTCTACCCTATACAAAGAAATACAGGAGACTAAGGAATGTTAAGGACTGGAGAAATAGTCTTCCTCAGAGAAGAGCACATCAGTTGGTTATCCAATACCTAGATGTCAGCCCTATAAACATACACAGAAGAAATACTATGCAAACTGAGCAGGTTGCATTTCTATATCATATGGAATATGTCGTTATATATATGATATATAAATTGAGATATATTATGTTCATATATATATATATATGTATCAACAATTAAAGAAAAGAGGACATGAATTTGAAGACAATCAGGGAGAAGTGCATGAAAGAAGAAGAAGAAGGGAAGGCAGAGGGGGATTTGGTGTAATTATAAGCTCAAAAGAAAAAAAAAAGATAGTATTTAAAACATTAAAGCTTGCTGGGATAATTCAAGACAGATGGTGTCCTGGGAGATCTCCGTCTGACTCACATGGAGAACCATTTCTATAATTTACATTTTCGTAAATCTTTGAACAGTTGGAATTGGGGGATTTTGCGAAGCCCACTGTTTGTTGGTCTCAATAACCCATTGTTATGAAATAACCCATTTTTGTGCTTGTGGTTTCCTTTGTCCGCAAAGCTCATTGTTTTGGAAAGTATGAAGATGTTGACTGTCTGGTATCAATATTCTGGAAGAAAGGATTTGTGGCTCTTCAAGCTGCCATCAATGCCGCCATCATAGAAGTGAGTGTAAAATGTTGAATGCACTCTTATCTTCAAGGCAAATTAATGATATCAAAGGCATAAAAGATTCAAGGAAGAAAATATGCATGGCTAGCCCTGTCCTTTCATCCACTCATTCATTCAGGGAGAAAGTTACTAAAACTGTTGTATGTCATATAACAAAGACAGAAATGGGGGAGGGGTCTTTCATGATCTCAGCCTTCTCAGGAAGCCATGAATGTAAAAAGAAAATCGTCAAAGCAGTTGCTGGCTGCAATGGCAACTGTGCTCTATTGCTGTGAAAAGACAACTCCTATTTAAAAAAAAAAAAAAAAAAAAAAAAAGAGCATCTCATTTACCATTTCAGAGGGTCAGTCCATGACCATCATGGCTGGAAGCAGACAGGCGCTGGAGCAGTAGCTGAGAGATTTCCATTCTGTTCCACAGGCAGCAGGCAGAGACTGTAAGATGGGGCCTGGCATGGGCTTTTGAAACCTCAAAGCCCACCCCAATGACACACCCCTCCAACAAGGCCGCTCTGACTCCAGCAAGGCCAAACCTCCAAATCCTTCCCAAATGGTTCCACTAATCCTTTGCCTTTGCCTCCCATTATCATAACTACTGCACTCACTTTGCCTTGTGGGATTCAGTGCTGCATCTTGCCCCTGCTTATTTGGGGGAGGGTAATTAAACCCATAAAATTTAAATCGTTCAACTAAGCATCAACATCTCCTACCCTACTAACTGATAGCCAAGCATTAGGACACAGGAGCCTACAGGATCCATTCTCACTCAAACCACTACAGGGACATAAAGTCTTTGTAGGTGAACAAACAAAAAGCTTCCCAGCTTAGAATGCCATAGGGTAATGTCCAATTGGAATAGCAGTAGAACTTGAGACTTGAGGTAAGAGATGTATTGAATGCATAAATTGAGAAAAGGCGTTCAAACAGTTCTACAGTGATGTTAGCTGGGCAAGGACTGACGTGAGGCAAATCCTGATAATTGTGGCTAGCTCGTTGTACCTGAACTACAGGATCCGAGTGGGTCAGGGGCAGGACATGAATGTGGAAATTTCCTTTAGCAGATGATTGTGGCATGATGATCAAGCATTCCCTGGAAATAGATGGTTTAAAACTGAGCATGCTATTTAGTAATTTGCAATTTTTATTAACAAACATTAATATTTCTTTAGACCACAACAAACCATTCAGTGATGGAGGAACTGCTATCAGTTACTGGGAAATACATGAAAATACAACCTTTCATCAGTCAAAATGGGATACTGACTGATTTCTTCATTTTATTCTGCATTATCTCCTTTTCCCCATTCATCTATTACATGTCTATCAATGTTACAAGAGAGAGAAAAAGGATGAAAGGCTTGATGGTGATGATGGGCCTTCAAGAGTCAGCATTCTGGTGGGTCAAATGCAGGACAAACAACCAAATGGGGGACCCTGGCAAAGTGGACAGTTTGTTTTATTAGAACCAATGTCTGCCTAGCTTTTTCCACTCTCCCCCTGCATGGAATCAATAGTCCTTGGTGTAAAGTTTGCCATGCTGAGTCTGGGTGTCACTGTGTTTCTCTTACTGAAGTAGAGAACCAGGAATTTGGGATTTCTGGGTATCTGTGAAGTGGGAAATATTTGGTAGCTGTCCACTCTGTTGGTGAGAGTGTCAAGGAAGTGAAAGACTGATGGGTGTTGCAGACAGTTGTCGGTGGCAGTCCCACTACGGCAAGATGAAAGACACTAAACATCTGGAGAGTCTTCACGACTGCAGAATGGGATGGGCGAGTCTGAGGGGATGGGCTGATAGAATGGGATTGTGAAGATGGAATAGGCAGTTTGATTTTTAAATATTCAGTGATTACCAGAATGGATAATCATCTAGGAAGGGCAGAGGCATGGAGGTGACATTTGTAGAGAAGGAAGTAAAATGGATACATAGCCAAATATGTCAGAACAAATCAGGAAGAGTTCCTGCCAGTACTACAGTCCTAAAATTTTGTGTATGTGTATGTTAGGTCCCTTCTGTTGTTATGGTTACTCTATTTGGACTACGTTATTGAACTGGTATTCTTAGAAAATATAGTAAAGCTGTAAAATCTAAAGATACCAGAGCCAAACATCTGGATTCGAATCACAACTATTTAACATCCTCATTTGCCAAAGTCTCCATCAATAAGACAAGAGAATACTGAAATGGAATTTGCATAGTCTTGGAGTAGGAATTTGATGATTTAACATTTGCCATATTCTTAAAACATTTCCTAGCACATAGCTATTAGGGTTGTTTTGTTGGTTTTGTAGCTATGTTTTAAAATTGTTTTTACTCATTATTTTACTATGTATCTCATAGAATATTTCATCATCAAGAAATTGATGGTGAAAGGCAAACAGACAATTTTAATATAAAAATAGAATGATTGAATGTGGAAGATGGTGTGGTGGGAAAAAAATATTTGCCGTCCCCAATGAATGAAGCCCAGAATTTTACCTTATAATTGCTTATATGTAAAGGGCACGATATTTGTGTAATGACATGAATGAGTGAATAAGTAAATGAGTGAAGTACTAAAAGATGAGAGTTACTGGGAAATACATGAAAATACAACCTTTCATCAGTCAAAATGGGATACTGACTGATTTCTTCATTTTATTCTGGGTGAACTAATAGATGACCTTTAAAATTACTTTAAAGCTGATCATAGATCCTCCTTTTCTTCTGTGTCTGAAAGACTGAAATAGAATTTGATTTCCACACCAGGCTCTCCTGGGGTCTGCTCTACGCTGGCTTCATCTTCATTATGGCCCTATCCCTGGCACTGGTTATCAAATCTGGCCAGTTTCTTATTCTGAGCAGCTTCGTGGTGGTCTTTAGCCTCTTCCTTCTTTATGGATTGTCTATGGTGAGTTGATTCAAAATTACCCAGGCCTGTTTTTTACCCTGAGAATTAAGCATTGGTTTAAAGAGGTCATTACTTTATATATAGTAGATTTTCTATCTTCCACTTGCATGCAAAACTTCATAGACAGGCACAATTTGGTGTATTATGTAACACACAATTTATAAGGCATGATTTTGTGTATTTGTATGATAGATCCGTCCTATCATCATCGTCATCATTGTTATTATTATTATTACCATATTTTGTTAGAGAAACATAACCCACCTAGGTTTGCTCTCCTCTAGATCACTTTGTCCTTCCTAATGAGTGTCTTGGTAAGGAAGTCTGTCCTCACTGGCCTTGTTATGTTCCTTCTCACCATCTTCTGGGGAAGTCTGGGCTTCGCAGCATTGTACAGATACCTTCCTGAATCCATGGAATGGACTTTCAGTCTTTTTAGCCCCTTTGCCTTCACTCTAGGAATGACCCAGGTGAGAATCTGTCTGATTATCTATTGGTGACATCTTTCTTCTCATTAACCTGCCGTCATTTTCTCATGCGATGCTCTAAGATTTAAAATCCTAGCATATGAACTTTGACTTAACAAAAAGTGGCCTTTTAAAGGTTTTTATGGGATTTAATGCAGCCAGATAAGTCATTTAGAGAGGGGAGAAAGTAAGGATGCTGGAGAGATGGTTCATGGGAAAAGAGCACATACTTACCCTTCAGAGGACCAGAGTTTGGTTCAACCGTCCTACAAATAGGGGTTCACAGCTGCCTGCCTGGATACCAGGCATACATGTCACAAACAAATACTTGGAGGCAAAGCACTCATCCACACAAAATAAAGGTACATAAATATTTTAGTAAAAAAATCTAGATGTGAGTTCAAATTGCCAACGTAGAGTCTCCTCGTTTCTTCCCAACGTTCAAATTACATAGCACTTATTAAAGCATAATGGGTGACTATTTTACCACTCTGTTAAACCTAGTTTGGATTTTAACTTTTATCATAAACCTAATTTCTCTTAATTTCTCAAAATTTTCAGCTTCTACATGAGGAATATGACTTAAATTCTAATGCACCCCCTGATCCAGCAGGTGGCTCAAATCTGACTATAGCAACTAACTTCATGCTGGCATTTGATGCATTTTTGTATTTGGCCTTGATGATGTACTTTGAAAAAATTCTGCCAAGTGAGTACAGATATGGCTAAAATAAACTAATTTTAATAGTTGTATTTCCCCAACCCGATCTCCTAATGTATGAATTACTCATAGTTCAAGAACCAATCTGGGTGTCAACATGAAAAAGATGGACAACGCTATTACCATTGGCCCAATCAGTTCTTTTGTTCTCTCTTTCCCCTTGGCTGTTCAAACATGAAACCTGAATTTTGCATATTGATTTACTAATCTTTATTTCAGATTCTATGTTATGGCTTGTTTTGTTGTTGTTGTTCATTTGATTATTAATTTAGGGTGCAGGGATGCAGATTCATGGCTTGGCACATGCTAAGCGAATTCTGTACCACTGAACTACTAGCCCCATCCACTGTTGTCTTGTTTCTTTGTAAAAATCACTTTAGAGAGCTCATTCCTAGGTGGGTCTGCTGTTGGTGAAAGTTTGCAGCTACTTTTGTGACTAGCTAGCTTAGCAACTCCGCGTCCCGGAGCTGCACATCAGAACCACCCAGCGAAATGTAGAGAAATAAGAAAGCCAGCTCCTGCCAATGCTGGAGAGACTCAAATGCAATTTCTCAATGGTGGGAGTTAGCTACCTGGAGTGTTAACAATCTTCCAAGCGTATCAGAACACGAAAGTGTTATGACCAGGGCCTGGTGGTTCAGCCTTGTAACCCTAGCTTTCCAGAGACTGAGGGAGGAGGGTGGCAAATCCAGGGCTTGGATCACAGGGAGCTCCAGGCCACCCAGGACTTAGTAAGATCCTGTCTCAAAAGAACACTCGAAAGGATGAGTCAGTGCAGACAGAGCTCCATGGTAGAGTGGTGTGCATGCTAGACGGTTATACTGAGTGTACTTATGCTTTCAGAGAGCTCCTGTTTTTTGATAATTTTTTTTTTTGCTCATCATAAAGATATTTTTCACATGCTCCATTTTTCCTGCTTTAAAACCAGTTTTAAATTATTAATATAACTAGGAATTTTCTCTCATCTAAAACCATTGAATTCTTTGATTTTCTGCCTACCGTTTATTCACAAAGCTTAAATATAAGACTAGACATGGCATTGTTCATATTTCTTTTAAAGAGAGTAAATATGAATAACAGAAAGGAAAACTAATCCTCTCAAATGGCAAAATCCTGTAACACTAGGTGTGAGAAATAGATGCTAATTGAAAACATTAAAAAAAAAAAAAAAAAAAGGAAGCACAGACCATGTGAAAAGTCTACACAGGTTTGAAAATTTCTCATCTTTACAGTGCAGGTCAGTTGCAGAATGTTAGAGAAACATGCCTTCTTAATAGCACTAACAAAGGTGGGAGAAAGAAATGATGATAAACCACAAACAGGTTAACTTCCAGCAAGATGCTGGTGGTGAGCACATTCTTGAAGCAGCCCACAAACCTTCCCATTCCCTACAAACATGCCATTTGCTCTTCTTAGTCCATCTCCTCTCCAAATATCTCATATAGCCAGTCATTGCTTCTTGGGGCCTTCTTTCTTTGCATAACATGGCTCTGGGTCTCAAATCAGAAATCAAAATGTCTAGCATGTCTTACGTTTTTATCCCAGAAATTAAGACTATTTTGAGCATGACTGAAGCTCATGCTCCCCAGAGGCCATGTTGACAGTCTTGGCCTGTGCTGCTGCTGAGAGCCATAGTGGTGTCCATGGCCCATGTTGACGCCTGTGGTCTGCACAGCCACCAGAGACCATTCTGAGGTCCCTGGCATCTGCTGACGACACCGGAGACCATGTGGCAGAGAGCTTTGTGCTCCTGCTGACTGTAAAGGAAAAGGAAGTGTTTGGATGTGTTTGGAAGTGTTATTGATGATTGCAGGCTCACAGTTGAGAAAGAAGGTCATACAAGGCTATGACAAACCCTACTTCCCCCCTCCCCCCAGAAAAGGAACAGCCTAGACAGGTAGCCATCAAAGAGAACTCTTAAAATTTGTGATAAGGATGCTGAAGTATAGCTATTCACAGTTGATGGCTTCTAGTGGGAATACAGGTAGAGAAGGACTCAGTTGTCTTTAAGGGACGGGCCTCTGGGAGTTTGACCATGCTCCCATGGGTAACACAAATTGCCCATCTTCTTGTTCTTGCTCTTATTCTTGTTTTTATTCCTGTTCTTCTTGTTCTTATTCTTCTTGTTATTCTTCTTCATGCTGTTCTTCTTCTTGTTCTTGTTCGTGTTGTTGATCTTGTCCTTCTCCTCTTCTTCTTTTCCTTTTTTTTTTTGTGAGGGAGGTCATAAAGATGGGGAGGCAGACCTGGGAGGACCAGGAAGTGGGTGTAATTGGGATACATGATGTAAAATTTCCAAATAAATAATAAAGCATTATGTTGGGGGAAAAAAAAGAAATGAATAGGGGAAAACTTGCAGTGAACCTTCATTTCTTACAATGGAGAGATCTTGGTTGGATTTGTTCTGATAAAGCTACCCAGTTGCCTCGTGTGGACCATGCATGAGCTCAGGTTTAGCAGCAAAGGGGTGGCAAGGCCGGTGGTGTGGTGGCAGTGGGTTAGTGGTGACTGACTCAGTATTCACTCATCTCCTGGTTGTGTAGATGAATATGGATATCAGCACTCTCCCCTGTTTTTCCTGAAGTCCTCATTTTGGTTGCGACAAAGAAAGCCTGGTCATGTGATTCTTGAACATGGAATAGATTCCGATCCTTCATCTGATGATTCATTTGAACCATTGTCCCCAGAATTCCATGGAAAAGAGTCCATCAGGTAATAAGGATGAGAAAAAAGGCTCAGCCCAAGCTGAGGAAGCCCAAAGTTTGGAATTATAGGCAAGCAAAGCACTCTTTGGGGTCTATAGATGGTTAGAGGCGGCCTCACCCAGCTACAGATATTAACTCCCACTTGAAGTATAAAAAAAAAAAATCCCACTCAGCAGATCATTTCAGTCTCACACTGTTGACATTTACATGAAATAAAATATCAGGTTTCACCCATGAAAATAATTAAGATTCTTACTTTGAATAAGTGTTTCTTTGTCGTTTTTAAAAACTCTTCTATCTTTTGAGATTATAACATGATTACATCATTTTCCCTTCCCTTTCCTCCCTCCAAACTCTCCTGTGTATTCTTCTTTGCTCTCTTTCAAACTCATGTCCTCTTCTTTCATCCACTGTTGTTACAAACATCTATTGTTTCTTCTTCCACCATTCCTCTTCGTCCCCATTTTTTTGATTGGCAATGCTATTCACGCTATCACTTACCCAGCCCTGGCTTCATTTATTATCCTTCCTTTTTCCTTAAAGAAGGCGCTCTGTCTTTCTCTGTGTGTGTCATTCCCTCTCTCTGTCTCTGACTTTCTCTGTATCTGACTCCATCCGTTCCACTCTTTCTCTCCTTCCCTCCCTCTTTTCAGTAATGGAGACTGAACCTTTGGCTTTGCACACACTGGACACCACTATGTCACTGAGATATATCCTCATCCCATTTTTAACTTTTTAATTATTGAGACAGGGCTGCACTGAATTTTTTCCAGCTTGGCCTTGGTTTCACTGGGTAACCCATGCAGGCTTTGAACTTCCATCCTGACCGTTTGCCCCAACAGCTTCAGCACTAGTTAACACATACACACACTCAAACACCCTCCCACAGTCGCACATACTCACACACTCACATACACACACACACACACACACACACACACACACACACACACACACAGTAGAGAGGAAGAAAAAAGAGAAGATCCAGAGACAGACAGAGAGGAGTTCAGTAATACGTGTTTTTCAGAGACAGGCATCTTAGTGGGACAGCACATTGTCCGCATCCCAATAAGAGCAGAGGAAAAAGCCCTCAGACTGCGGACTTCAGCTCATTCAACCCCCAGTGACAGCTCACGCCAGTCCTCTCAGCTCTCATCCCGTGGAGCTTCTCAAGCCCACTTCTTTTCTCGTCAGTTCCTTACCTCATCCGTGCTTCTATTTGTCCCAGAAATTAGGTAAGCTTAGCTAAAAGAAAAAAAAAAAAAAAGCAATATCTTCACACAAATTGTTTCTGTCATCACCTCCCTCAAGGGTGGGGATGATGAGCTGGCAGTTTAATGTGCTCAAAACAGAAAGGGGGAGATGATTAATTTAGTATGAATGAACGCTGAATTGTTCGGTGGCCAGTAAATGACAAGATAAGAAATAGAAATCTGGCTCAGCTTGTGAGTTCTACTCCCCGTGGTTAAAAAAAGTGACGTGGAATTCCAGATCTAGAACAGCACTTAGAGGACATAAATTTCCTCCCTAGTTATGGTCACCATCATGTAACCATCATCTTCCTGTGCTGGATATGTTCTGTGAACCAAGCATTCTGTACACAGAATGAGAAGCTTTAGTTCCCCTCAACGCAATTGAAAGCACTCTCAAGTTTCAGCTTGGCAAAGCTGAAGCCTGCCTGGACAATCAGAAAGGAAGTGGTATAAATGGGGTGAACTCAGGTGGGCATGAGAGTGAAACCCATCTTCCTGAGGTCACCATCCATTGCTTCTCTATCTTACTCCACCTCTAAACATGTCCCCGGGGCTCCTCAGCCAAGATGACCACATGTACCTCCAGCCTGCAGGAGGGGGTCATGGTAACCCTTTCACTGCTGGATGTTCATGTCATCTCCTATTGTGGCTTCCCCGCTTTGCAGTAATCTTGTTCTTAAAAACACTAATGTCACCTCACCCCCAAATATATGACACATGAATATATGTGGTAGAAAACATGCACAAAGTTTGCCCTCCCCAGAGATGATGACGGGCTAGAAGGCAGCATGCTAGGAGATTCTGCGACATAGATATGCCGCATAAGAGTGGCGCACGGGCTCTTCCTGGACACCGAAAGTAAGATCCATCCACCCATGAACCAAACTAGAAGGTCCAACTGAAGAAAACGATTGCCAAACCATAGCTTTTTTCTTTTACAGAATCCGGAACATTTGTAAAGAATACAAAGGAAAGCCCAATAAAATAGAAGCCTTGAAAGGTAAATAATAATAATAATAATAATAATATAAATATAGTGATAATATTTTAGCTTAAACATGATCTATCTTACTTTTGTTGAGTAGTTCTTGATAATATTTCAAACTGGAAATGTGATTTGAGTCACGTGACAAACTTTATCACCTTCAATACTTTAGTTCTACATTATAAATCTTTTATAAAAGTTAGAATGAACTAGTGTTGAAATATGATGTATTTAAAATTTATCTTGTATGTCAACCTATGTAGATTTTGGGCTTTCCATCTATAAACTCAAACTTTCTTTTTGTAATTCAAGGTATTATGCTTCCTTTTTTAAAGTAAATAAATAATTAAATTAGAATAAAGAATGAGGCACTTACTCAGAGGACTTTTGGCCATATAGTAACTTATTGTTAGTCTATTCTTCCGCTCAGTGTAACAAATAGTTTGCATATGCAAGGCAATGTCCATGCACCTATGACCCTGACACATTTCAGTCATTTAAAATACATAATTACATTTTCAGAAAGAATATTTTGAAAAAATATTTATTCAAAAAGATAAAATAATTCAATTGGTTCCATGGTAGGATTGTGTCATTTGAGTTATTTTTTCTTCCTAACTTCGTTCTTATGTCATTCATCTTTCCTTCCAGACCTGACACTGGACATATACAAGGGACAAATCACAGCAGTACTTGGTCACAGTGGAGCTGGGAAATCAACACTGCTAAATATTCTTAGCGGGTTAACTGCTCCTACGAAAGGTAAGAACTCAGGTTGGTAAATGAATCAGCTACTAATGTAAAATCCTTCTGCTTATTAACAGCAAACACAAATACAAGTGAAAATAAAAGCTCATTTACAGTATTATTCTATAAAGTTATACTACTGTTAGGTGTGAAACTTGAGTGTTTCATGACAATCGCTTCCTTGATCCTTAGTTAGCACTTGGCATTCCAACTTGCATGTGTTAGCTGCTGCGTGACAAACACTCCAAAACTTAATAGCTTACATAGAAATGTTTTTTTTCATCATTTCTGAAGATTCTGTGGGTTTCTCTGTGCAAAATCAAGTGGGGTTAGGTGGCTTAGCAAGGCCTCACCCATATGCTTGAGATTTCAGCAAGGACAGCCTTCATTGCCAAATGGACTTTCCACTTCTATGTGGCTAATATGACATTCTTCACCCACTGGCTTTATGAACTGAGCATAAAGAAATTAAATCGTATCAGGGAAGTTCTTCCTCAGCCTTGGCTTTCATCACACTGGCCAGGGTCTCACTAGCCAGCCATTCTAGACTGCTGGGAGCAATTGCAGAATTGCTGGATTGGCAGAAGGAAGCAAGTGAGCTTCCTGGAGGCAGCCCACTTGTTTTTGCACAGCTGAGGAATGGCTGTATCCCAGGCGTAGGCCCCAAAGATTTTGCCCCAAGACTGCTTATTGTTGCCACACTGCCTTTCCATGCTCGTCTCATACACCTGGCATGGCAGAGACCCTCACTGCTTACTGCTTCACTCTGTTGGGCAGATTTCCCGAAGACTATTTTGAAGATGTACCTTCATGACATAGTGTTGTTTAGACATATTGATGATTTCATAATCCCTGATGATGATTTTAAAGAATTTCTGACTTGATTCAAGTAATTTAAAAACGCTCCTTCAGCATAGCAAACACTGCTAGGAGCTCTGTGGACCTCCTTATGTCAAGCACTTGAAACAATGTTGAAACAAGTTAATAATCAAGGAGATACATTCATTCTAGATAAGGCCCAGGTGTACATCACAATAAGAAAGACCATATGAATATAGAAACAAAGAATAAATGATTAGCTATAGAAGTCAAGACAGGCACCTGTTACTTAGAAAAACCTTGACATAATTAAAAGAAACTTGCTTTGAACACATGTAAAAAATATAAAACTTCTGCTTGGAACTCATAATGAGCATATAGATAAAACCACTGCTTTAAACTTATAATAACCAAAGTATCTAGTTAGATATTAGTATCAACAGCCCTACTGTAACTCATTTTTTATGTAACGATTGTATCTATTTTTGAATAGGTAATTTTTTCCATACATAGGGAACCTTTGTATTAGATCTATAAAAACCCAAGACAGAATTAAACAGTTGTGGAAGCCATCTGCTTCATCCAAAACTATGTCTGTCTATTTATCAATCTAATTGTATGTATACGTTGTCTATATGTATATATGTATATGCTTACATTTATATCTGTATGTTTACATATATGTGGATGAGTGGTGTCTTAGGGAGTGCCCTTGTTTTGTCTATTGATTGCATATGTGCATGTGTGTGTGTGTGGTTCATAAAAATCTGCTTGCTTTGTCTGCCAAATGTGTATGTTTTTGCACCCTTCTTTGCTTAGTAAGTTTAGTAAGTGATAAGCGGCCCAGAGTGTTTTATCGGCCTTCTTAATTAGGACTCTGGCTTCCAGCAAGCCACTGTTCACTGCTGAGCCAGCAAGTTAAAAGGAATTAAGATTTTTCTTTTTACAATACCTTGTATTTACAACAAGAAATTGTCAAGGCTGCGGCCACTTGTACTCGCACTTAAAAGAGCCACCCAGCTTAACTGATTAAGACCCTCTGCTGTTAAATAATAAAAATTTTAGCCAGAGAGCTGTTTTGGTGGTGGAGAAACCAGAAGGCCTGCATCTCTCAATTGATAAAGCTTCAGACCTTAAATCTAAAAGTTCAGGGTCTAATTCCCTGCTGCCTCTCTTTTCCTTTAGAGGCTCTCGCGACCAGCAGCCCCTGCGAGTTAGACTGTACATAAAGTTAAACTGTATATAGAAAGTTAAGCTGTATATAAAGAGAGCCCCAAGTAGCAACAGTACCAGCCTGGAAGTTTAAGAGTGAAACTGTACAGAGAGAGCCCCAACCTGCAAGGCTACCAACCTGAAGGATTAAGCGTTAAATTATAGAGAGAAATACCAGCCACCAGCTGGTCATCGCTGACTAGATGGCCCGCAAGACTAGACAACCATGAGCTTCAGATCCCAAGGGGGCTTTATGGCTGAGGAAGCCACTGACATCAGCCTCCATGTACATGGGCTCACATGTACATGTCCACACACTCACACATACACATGCATTTACACATATGAAACACATACACACTCCAAAAAAACCTGAAGGCTGGGTTAAATAAACCTTGAAGATGAAGTTATATATCTAAAAGTGAATTAACAAATTGGGTGTTTTTATTTATAAATACTTTCATTGGCTCAACTGTCTCGGCACTAACAGCTGATCTTTATGACAGGCTCTGTCACCATCTACAATAATAAGCTCTCAGAAATGGCTGACCTAGAAAACATCTTCAGGATAACCGGAGTTTGTCCACAATCCAATGTGCAATTTGGCTTCCTTACTGTGAGAGAAAACCTCAGGCTTTTTGCTAAAATAAGAGGAATTCCACCCCAAGAAGTGGAGAAAGAGGTACATACATACGTTTAGGAACTTTTTTTTTTTTTGGCCCAAGTGTGAATATTAAAACCCATTTGTTTTAAGATGCATTTTTTTTCCAATTTCTGTGTATAAATCGGTGGTGTGTGTTGTTACATAGGAAATCTAATTTAAACAAGAATATTTATACATAATGTATAGGGTGCATTTTGCTTAACTTTGAATGCAAATGATCGTTTATACCTTATGAGATAAATGTCATTGTTCCCTCCATCTTGCACATAAGAAGATGAAGTTTGAAGAAAGCAAATGACTGGAGCAGGCTTGTTTCATAGGTTAACATGAACTGTCATTCAAGCCCAGAACCTTTGACTCCACTGTCTATGCTTTTGTCCGTCACAATGAACAGCTTTGAACTTATGAGCTAGAAAAAGAAGGAAAGAAAGGAAGGAAGGAAGGAAGGAAGGAAGGAAGGAAGGAAGGAAGAAAGAAAGAAAGAAAGAAAGAAAGAAAGAAAGAAAGAAAGAAAGAAAGAAGGAAAGAAAGAAAGAAAGAAAATGTTCTGTGTATGATTTAACTCTTGTCTTTTTTTTTTTTTTTTTCAGGTGCAAAGAGTTTTGGTAGAATTGGAAATGAAGAATATTCAGGATACCCTTGCTCAAAACCTAAGTGGTGGACAGAAGAGAAAGTTAACTTTTGGAATTGCCATTTTAGGAGATTCTCAAGTAAGTCAGACCAGATTTTACAGGCAATTTTCAGCAAAAATTCAAAACTTGCATTTGCAAAGGATCTATGTGGTAGAAATGTTTAGAATGTGCAGTACAAGAGGAAACTTGACACACTATCCTTTTAAACCTAGACAGTAAGGAACACTGCGCTGCTCCCTGAAAGAACTTTTTGCTTCAGAGGAAAATGCTGTCCCTTCCCTCCTCTAGATTTTCCTACTGGACGAGCCCACTGCTGGCCTGGATCCCTTTTCAAGGCACCGGGTGTGGAATCTCCTGAAGGAGCGCAAAGCAGACCGCGTGGTCCTCTTCAGCACTCAGTTCATGGACGAGGCTGACATTCTGGCCGGTAATTCGTTGGTGACTTCATCCAGGGATCTTAGGACTAGCCTTCTCAACAGCTGCATTTTATCCTGCGCATCCAAACACATGGTGAAGATGTGAACTTAGCACAAACATATGAACATCGATTATTTTATTGAATCATGTATGCGCATGTGTGTGTGCTTGTGTGTTCATGTGTGTGCAGGAACACATGTATGTATGTGCATGTGCAGCCCAGAGGCCACCCCCAGACGTTGTTCCTCGGGAGCTCTTTACCTTGTTTGGTGAGACAGGGTCTCCCTGTGGGTTAGGCCGGCTGGCTAGTAAGCCCCAATGATCTCTCTCTCCATCTCAACCTCAGGGTGACGGAATTGCAAATCATCAAACTCAGCTTTTTCCATGGGTTCTGAGGCCCACGATCCTCAGCTTGCACAGCCAGCACTTTAGTAACTGACCTAGCTCTCCAGCTCTCAGTATATCTTCTAAGTGCTGTGTCTTTAAGTTGCTTGGCGTCAAGGACCTGCCAAGAAACTCACTGTGAAGGAAATGAAGTCTACATTCTAAGAGCTTAATTCCTTCGTTCAGAATTGAGTTAAATCCACTTGAAACATTCAAATACTTTTAATGCATGGTCTATTAAAATGTATAATATAAACCCACACGGTTTAGTCTCCCTGATGAGGTTACCAATGAGAAATAAGCCTAAGAAGGGATTGAGGGCTATGATTCATGTAGTCTTCATTAAGCCTGGTCTGGAGACGCTCCTGGATTGGATTTTAGATCATGTAAACAACTGTCTGCCTTTTCTCAAAAAACAAATGACCCACCTCTGAACAGACTTTCTTCTTTGCTTCTTCCTCTTCAGACAGGAAAGTGTTCATCTCCAAGGGGAAGCTGAAGTGTGCAGGCTCGTCTCTGTTTCTGAAGAAGAAATGGGGGCTTGGGTATCACTTAAGGTAAGGACTTGGTAAGGTCACAGAGCCCTTGTGAACCAAGAACCTCTTGAAAGTCCTGCCTTTCAACACTGTTGGGTTGGGAGTTAAAACTCCAGAACATAAACTTTGAAAAGCATTATGCCATGTTTTTCTGACGACAGTGTCCTTTGCTTTACAGAAGCTTTTCAGTTTCATGAGGTCCCAGTTATTGATTGTTGCTCTTAGAGCCTGTGCTGTTGGAGTTCTGTTCAGGAAGTTGTCTCCTGTGCCAATGAGGTCAAGGCTCTTCCCCAGTTTTTCTTCTAACAGATTTAGTGTGTCTGGTTTTATGTTGAGGTCTTTGATCAACTTGGACTTTAGTTGTGTGCAAGATTATAAATATGGATCTATTTGCATTTTTCTATGTGTAGACATCTACTTAGACCAGCACCATTTGTTGAAGATGCTGTCTTTTTTCCATTGAACAGGTTTTGGCTACTTTGTCAAAAATCAAGTATCCATAGGTGTGTGGGTTTATTTCTGGGTCTTCTTTTAGGTTCCATTGATCTACCATTCTGTTTCTATGCCAGCACCATGCTGTTTTTATTACTATTGCTCTGTAGTACAGCTTGATATCAGGGATGGATATACCTCCAGATGATGTGTTGTACAGGATTGTTTTAGCAATTCTGGGTTTTTCTGTTTTTCCATATGAAGTTGAGAATTGTTCTTTCAAGGTCTGTAAGAATTGTGTTGGTATTTTGATGGTAATTGCATTGAATATGTAGATTGTTTTTGGCAGGATGGCCATTTTCACTATGTTAATCCTACTGATCCATGAATATGGCCTACAGACTGGGAAAGGATCTTCACCAACCCTATATCTAACAGAGGGCTAATATCCAGAATATATAAATAACTCAAGAAGTTAAAAAGCAATAAATCAAGCAATCCAATTTAAAAAAATGGGACATGGAGTTAAAGAGAGAATTCTCTATAGAGGATTATCAAATGGCAGAGAAACACTTAAACTCAACACCCTTAGTCATTAGGGAAATGCAAATCAAAACAACCCTGAGGTTTCACCTTACACCCATTAGAATGGCTAAGATCAAAAACTCAAGTGACAACACCTGCTGGAGAGGATGTGGAGAAAGAGGAACCCTCCTCCATTGCTGGTGGGAATGTAAACTTGTACAACCACTTTGGAAATCATTCTGGCGCTTTCTCAGACAAATTGGTATAGTGCTTCCTCAAGATCCAGCTATATCACTCCTAGGCATATATCCAAAATATGCTCAAGTACACAACAAGGACATTTGTTTAACCATGTTCATAGCAGCTTCATTCATAATAGTTAGAATCTGGAAACAACCCAGATGCCCTTAACTGAGGAATGGTACAAAAATTGGTACATTTACACAATAGAATACTACTCAGCAATTAAAAACAAGGAAATCATGAAATTTGCAGACAAATGATGGTAACTAGAAAAGATCATCCTGAGTGAGGTATCCCAGAAGCAGAGAGGCACACATGGCGTATACTCACTTATAAGTAGATATTAGACATATAATAAAGGATAAACATACTAAAATCTGTACACCTAAGTAAGCTAAGCAAGAAGGAGGATTCCGGGTAAGATGCTCAATCCTCACTCAAAAAGGCAAACAGGATAGACATCAGAAGAGGGAGAAAACAGAGAACAGGACAGGAGCCTACCACAGAGGGCCTCTGAAAGACTCTACCCAGTAGGGTATCAAAGCAGATGCTGAGGCTCATAGCCAAACTTTGGGGAGAGTGCAGGGAATCTTATGAAAGAAGGGGGAGATAGAAAGACCTGGATGGGACAGGAGCACCACAAGGAGAGCAACAGAACCAAGAAATCTGGACCCAGGGGTCTTTATCTGATACTGATACTCATGGAAATAACCTAGAACCTCTGCACAGATGTAGCCCATGACAGCTCAGTGTCCAAGTCGGTACCCTAGTAAGGGGAACAGGGCCTGTCTCTGACATAACTCAGTGGCTGGCTCTTTGATTACCTCCCCTTGAATGTAGAGCAGCCTTACCAAACCACAGAGGAAAGCAATGCAAGCAGTCCTGATGAGACCTGATAGACTAAGGTTAGATGGAAGGGGAGGAGGACTTGGAGAGGGGCATAGGAGGAAATGAGGAGAGAGAGGGAGGGTGGGCTTGAGAGGGAAAGAGAGAGAGGACTACAGCTGGGATACAAAGTGAATAAACTGTAATTAATACAAAAAATAAAAAAACAATAGCACATAATAAATAAATAAATTTAAAAAAAGAAAAGCATTATACCATAACAATAGGTTAATAAGTCAATAGTTGAGCCTGGATACTGTTAACTTAAATCTATTGTCCAAAGCTAAACCTGTCACCATGCATTATGATAATCATTTATCTTAAACTTTGAATTTTGTATTGATTATTTATAATACAATTTTTAATTGATTCCATTAATTTTCTGAGTTGTCCATCTATTCTTAAAAAATAAAATAAACATAAATGCAGCAAGACAAACGACAGCAACAACAAAATCCCAATGGTTCCATTCTACTCCCTGGAGCCTAAACTAAGCAGCCAAGTGACATGGGGTGGCCTACCCTATCATGGCTTCCATGCCCTGCACACTCCCCTACCCAACACCATACTCCTTTCTATGATCCCTTTGTTGTCTTTTTTTTTTGTCATGTTTACATGACTTTTACATGACTTCTGATCTTCCACTGTATTTTGATTGACTTTTCTTGCCCAAAGAAATTAGCCACTCTTCTCATTCTGTTATAGACTATGTCACCTAACATCTGTCTTTTTTAAAATAACAGTTTGCAGCTGAACGAAGTCTGCATTCCAGAAAACGTCACATCGCTTGTTAGACAGCACATCCCTGAGGCTACGTTATCGGCCGAAGGTGAAGGGAAACTTGTCTTTACATTACCCTTAGACACAACCTACAAATTTCCAGGTAATGTGCATGGACGCAACAGAATGAGGTTTGGATATAATATTTACAGTAATAGTTGTAGTGATCGCTGTATAACTATACTCTACTGAGAACTTATGACATCTTCAGATGTTAAAAATGTGATCAAAAGAATAACAGAAGAACGAGATTTTATCCATACTGGGAAACATTCTATTGTAGTTTTGGGGTTGAAATGCTTGAACATATTAGAGAACTCCCTTCAGCCTTTGCTTCCTCTTTGTGGTTATCATAGTATCTTAGGACTCACAGCCCGAAACACTTTAGTCCTTTTTTTCTTCTTTGCTGGTTACAGCATAAGTGGATCCCATTTGTGTATGTCCTCTGGAATAGCCTCTTAAATTAACCAAGCTTAAAGTTGAGAAAACCAAATTATGTAATTAAGTAAATTGTAAAAGCAAAACTAAAATGAAATTCAAATAAAAATGTAAATGAATATAGGTAACTGACCACAAGAGAGTATATTTGAAGTTATAACACAAATGTGAGACAAAATAAGACCTAGAATTAGAAAACTGGAATAATTTACCCAATGTTAGTTTCTGTGCTAGTTAACTATAATTTGCATTTCTTAGTTTGAAAATATATTCTCAGTTCACGTGGTTTTGGCCGTGGTGACTCACTGCTGTATGTGCCCTGTAGATCTTTACCGGAGTCTTGATAGCTGTCCTGGACTGGGAATTGAGAACTATGGTGTTTCCGTGACAACTTTGAATGAGGTGTTCCTGAAGCTAGAAGGAAAATCGGCAATTGATGAATCAGGTAACTAAAATGTGAAACCTTTTTTTATTTATTTGTTTGTTTGGCTTTTTTGTTTTTGTTTTTGTTTTTGGTTCTAAAGAAAAGATTACAAAGTGCAAGGTTCTGTTATTTTTAGGCAAGACTGTATAAAGTGTCCATTCATCCTTTGTCAATATCGCCTTGTCTAAAATCATTCTTCTCATTATTAATGTTGAATTTTTTACTGGAGCCATAAAATATAACCTTTGATTAAAAATCTTTTCAACCTATTGGGCTGTATTATTGAATCAGAATTTGGGTTACTTGGTGGCTGCTTCTTATCCATTTAAAACATTTATGAACATATAACACATAGATGCATGTGTGTATTATAGGACTACAAACATGTAGACTATGTATACCTGCATAACTATTGTGGCAAATTGTACAAACAGGCAGAGGCAGATGATCACATCACTCACGCTTACTTGTCTGTTTGCCTATATCTTCTATTATTTGTAAGTGAGATCTATTAAAATCCCAACTCTAAGCCTAGACATGTCTAGTCCTGGGCTTTACTCCCTTTGAATAGGGAGATGGTGTGTTTTGAGTTTCTGTTATTCAGTTCATGTGTAAGTAGAATCTGTATGTCTCTTGTATGAATTGCCTTTCATCATCCCTGTGTGAGGCCTCTTTTAATCTCTGATAAGGGCGCTCATCCTGAGCTGTCTGGTATTGGTATGGATGCTACATCTTTAATATACAGTATATTGTCCCACTTTAATTTCCTCTTCTGCTTTGAAATCAAGATGCATTTCTGGAAAACAGCATGTAGTTAAATTTTACCTTTTGTTACGCTTCTCAATATACTTGCCATGGGAGATGGTGGAATGTTTATATTTGAAAGTGGTTACCAAATTTATCTGGGCACAGGGTCTTTTCTGAGACTGACATGCAACCAAGGACCATGTATGAATGTAACCTAGAACCTCTGCTCAGATGTAGCCTGTGGTAGCTCAGTAACCAATTGGTTTCCCATAGTGAGGGGAACAAGGACTATTTCTAACAGGAACTCAATGACTGGCTCTTTGGCCTCCCCACCCCCCAAGGGAGGAGCAGTCCTGTTAGGCCACAGAGGAGAGCTTTGCAGCCAGTCCTGAAGATACCTGATAAAACAGGATCAGATGAATGGGGAGGAGGTCCTCCCCTATCAGTGGACTTGGAAAGGGGCACGGTGGAGATGAGGGAGGAAGGGAGGGACTGGGAGGGAATGAGGGATCGGGACACGGCTGGGATACAGAGTTAATAAAATGTAACTGATAAGAAAAAAATAAAATTAAAAAAAAATGAAAGTGGTTATGTTTAACACTGTCATATTGATTCCATGTGCTCTTTTTTCTTGTTTATTTATTTTATTCACTTTACATCCTCGAAGCCTCATCCCTCCTCCCCTTCCAGTCCCATCTTCTCTTCTTCCATCCTCCCCTTTTTCTTCCCTTTCCCATCCACCCCAGCTCATCAAGTTGCGTCAGGACTGAGCATGTCCTCTTCGCCTGTGACCTAGCAAGGCAGTCTTGCCAGGGGAAAGTGATCAAAGAGCTAGCAAGGGAGTCTGTGTCCAAAGAAGTCCCTACTTTCCTTTACTAGAGGATCTACATGAGGTATAAGCTGCCCATCTACTACACCTTTGTAGGGGGCCTAGGTCCGGTTCACACATGATGTTTGGTTGATGCTTCAGTCTCAGCGAGCCCCTCTAGGCCCTGGTTAGTTGGCTCTGTTGTTCTTTTGATTATTATTATTATTATTTCTGGGTCCCTTTCTCTTTCCTGCCACTATTCCCCAAGACTCTCTATGCCTCAAACAATGTTTGTCTGTGAGTCTCAGCATACGTTTTGAGGCACTACTGGGTAGAGCCTCTCAGAGGACAACTCCTGACAGTCTCCTGTCTGCAAGCTTAGCTGATTATGATTCATAGTGTCAGGGGTTGGCACTCTCCTATAGGGTGGGTCTTTGGTTGGGCCAGACATTGGTTGGCATTCCTCAATCTCTGCTCTATCTTTATCCCTGCATATCTTCTAGGCAGGGTAAATTTTGAGTGGAAGTTTTTGTGGGTGGGTTGGTGTTCCCTTCCCTCTACTAGGAGACTAGTCTAGTTAGAGGATGTCCTCTTCAGCCTCTATGGCCTCTGCTACTAGAAATCTCTGCTTGAGTCCCCCCCATATCCTCCCAGGAGCCTTCCCTGACTTAGGTCTCCAGCTTGTCACAGAGATGTCCCCACCCTCAGTTTCTCTTTTCTCTACAGGCCTCTGTCCTCTCGCCCTTGCTCTCCTCACGTCTGATCTCCACACCATTAACTCTCTGCACCCCCTCTCCTCCCTTGTTCCCTCTCTTCAGCCACTACCTCTGTCTATTCTGTCTCTCCTTCTGAGTGGGATGTATGCACCCTCACTTACATACATATTACTTATCTTCTTTGGGTCTTTGCTTCGTAGATGCTTATCTTGTACTCTGTGGCTATTTTTATCCCTGGCCAAAACTAAAATCCAAGTGGATCAATGCACTCAATATAACACAAGATAAACTAAATCTATTAGGAGAGAAAGTGGGGAAGAGCCTCTAGTTCATTGACACAGGAGACAACTTTCTGAAAGAACACCAGCACCTCAAGTTCTAAGATCAACAATTAATAAATAGGATCTTTTGAAACAGAAAAGCTTCTATAAGGCAAAGAACTCTGTCAATAGAACAAAAAGACAATCTACAGGTTGGGAAAAGATCTTCACAGATCCTACTTCCAACAAAGGGCTAATATCCAAAATACATAATGAGCTCAAGAAATCAAGCACCAGTAAACAAAAGAACCCAATTTAAAAATCAGGCACAGAACTAAACAGAGAATTCTCAACAGAGGAGTCTTGAATGGCTCAGAGGCAAATAAAGAAATGCTCAACTTCCTTAGTGATCAGTCAAAACAACTCTAAGATTCCCTCTCACAACAGAATATGTATATATGTATATCTGCAAACACACACATACACATATATATATACATGTACACACACATATATATGTACATGTATATATGTGTGTGTGTGTGTACATGGATGTGTAGCCACCACTGGAACATGGCATATACTAGTAGCTGGAACACAGAAGATTGACTCTCACTCCCTCAGCTGCCATCAACTGTCCATTGCTTCTCTACCAGGGGTGGGGGTGCCATGAGCCCCTCCTCCATCCATGCTGAAATTTACCAGCTTGACCCTGTGCTGGTCACCAAGGCTACTGTGAGTCAATGTGTACAGCAGCCATGTCACACCTAGAAATTGCTTTATATACTTTCTGTACACACAATCCTCCTTTTTAACAACCCCCTTTGTTCAATAAATGTATCTTTTTGCCTCTTTCCAGCCCAAAGCAGTAGCCAGTAATGCCATATAATGTAGGAGGAGCACAGAGGACTGTATGCTGGAGCATCAGTAAAAGCTCACCCACACAGCAGCTTCAGCCGTGCATGCCTGGAGCGTGTTTTTACAAATTGCCTCCTTTTACAAATTGTTTGGCAGAGGTTGACATCGCGGGAGAAGGACATACAGGACAAACAGAGAGATCTGGGGACACAGAAAGACTTACAGAGATGGAGCAGATTCTCTCTTCACTTACAGAAATGAAAACAGTGACAAATAGTCTGGCTCTCTGGAGACGGCAAATCTGTGCAATTGCAAAGGTCCGCTTGTTGAAGTTAAAGCATGAAAAGAAAACTTTCTTGTCTCTGTGAGTATCAGGATGCTCTAGCTCTCTCTTACAGAACACCAGAGGTAACGAAGGTGGGGAAAGAAGAGAAAGCATTCCCTGCATCTATAAACCTAAATAAGCATTGCTAATAGCTTAGTCACTGGTCCTAATGATTCTCTATTAGGAGACTAGGTGATGGAACTTATAATGTTTCTAAGATGAGCATAAAGGAAAATCTGAAGTGATATAAGTTTCCTTGTATATTTCTTGTCTTTCAAATTCTCCACTCTGGGATATCAGACACATGGCAGAGATCCCATCTCCCAGAATCCACATATCAGCGACCCAGATCTGATGATTTGTCCTCATCTTACTAGCGTTGTTCTGGCTGTCAGGCATCCTCTAGCCTTCTTTAACGCCAGTAACTTGCTACCCACTCCTACCCTGCACATAACAAATACCATCCTTGACTTAAAGGCTCATATCAATCATCTTCCATTACTATGAGGATGTCTGTGATACCTTGCATATCAATAAGTTACTTTTGTTTTACAATTGTATTTTTATCAGATTCATTGATCCATTTATATGTATGTGTATGATCGTGTACATACATGCATTTGTGGGTGCATGAACCTGTGCATGCCAGAAGAGGATGTCCGGTGTCCTCTTCTATTGCTCTCTGCCTGCTCCTTTGAGGCAGGGTCTCTCTGAACCTGAGGTTCACATCTTTTTGTTCAAGCCAGAAGCCAGCAAGCCCTAGGCATACTCCTGGTCCCATTCCTTCTTGATCTGGGATTACAGGTATATGCAGAACAACTGGCTTGGTAAGTGAATGCCGGGATACAAATTCCAGTTCTTGAGATTGCACGGCAAAGACTCTTAACCACTGGGCTATCCCTCCAGTGCCATGATCTTTGTGCTTTAAATTAATAAATGGAGACATACATCCTAGCACGTAATTCAGTCTCAATAAATATTATACAAGATGTTGATAGGAAATAGAATTATTTAAGATGAAAATTAACATTACACTATCAACTGTGAGTAACAAAGCCTACAGAGAGCAAAGAAAGAATGGATGCCAGGTGTTTGAAAAGATTTCAGACAAGACATATTTAGAAATTAGGCACAGAGGGAGGTTTCAAAATAGTAAATATGATGGCAGCATTTTAGGATTGGTCAACTTATTTGGAATATGGAGTAAAAGAAAGTAAATATAATTATTATTAGTTGATAATTAATATGTACAAATTAATTACATTATTAAATAATTAATGGTTGTTCAGAATAAGCTAAAAATTAAGTAAAACATAAGTCTGGAGAATAAAGAGAGCATGTGGTCATTTATAAAAAGTAGAAACTGTGGGAAGTGAAGTGGATATGAAGAAAACGGGTGGTGGAAAATGATGAGAGGAGGAGAATCATGCAGGATTTGTGAGATAGGCGGGGTCTGAATGTCCGGATCATGGGGGCTGTATACCCACAAGATACATGGTATGGGATACCCAAGGGTAGAAGAGAGCTGACCAAAGAGTAAAGCTACAGTTTACCCCCCCCCCCAATTTCAAACTGGGACAGGGGCAAAATAATCTAAATGTAGGCAGAGAGTTACCCGGTTAACGTTTGTAATTAGTTAACCAATCCCAGTATGCTCATAGTGACAGTTCTATTCTGTGCAGGCTCTTGGTTCTGGCGGTTGGATTTTTCCCTATTCTTTTTGAGCACATCAGGATGAAAGTACATCAAATCAGTTACTCTTGGGAACTCTCCCCTCACTTGTACTTCCTTGCTCCTGGACAACCTCCCCAGGACACCCTCACTCAGTTATTGGTCATCAATAAGACAGGTAATACACGGTTACAATTTACATATGTATTTTTCATTCTAAAAGTGCTGAGCAGAGGTGGGGAGGTTGTAAGGGAGGTCAAAGGTAGCAGAATGGAGAGCCAGGGAACAAGACAATCTACTTAAACACATTTTGTTCAAAAATGTCAGAGAGCTATCTGATACTGTATAGTCTCATTTTAATTAAAATAGTGTTAAATAGTTTTCTATTATGTGCATACATCACATCGTGTTTATCATTCACCTGTAAATATCACCTGGATATATCCCCAACAAATGGCTGTTATAAATAATACTTCTAAATATGATCATGCCTTTTTTTTGTAAAGACTTTTCATTTCTTTGGGGTATCCTTTTAGAAGTGGAATTGTTATACCATGTAATGCATATGTCTAAACCCTTAAGAACCCAACAAACTCTTTTTAAAGGAAGTGTATGTGTATACTAGCGATTAATGTGTTCTAATTTCTATACATCTTGGATGATACTCATTCCTGTCTTTTTATACCTATCATGAATGTCACATGATTTCTTCTGTTTTGTGTGGATGTATTTTTTTTTTATTTATGTGCATGCCTTTGTAAATAAGGTTGTGCATGCATGAGTGTCCTTGCAGAGGCCAGAGGCCAACACTGGATGTTTTCCTCGGTCATTCTCCAATTTTTATTATTTAAAACCATCTCTCACAAACCTTGAATTCATTGTGCTGCCTGTCCAATGAGCTCCAGAGACCTGCCTGACTCTGCCTCAGCTGTCCTGGTGTTATAAATATGTACCAACACACCTGGAATTTTGGGAGGGTGCTGGGGATGAAACTCAAATCTTCATCTTGCTCAGCAAGCACTTTATTGACCAAACCATCTCCTTAGCCCATTTTCTCTACTGGTTCCTATTGTGTTTTGTTAATGGGGTATTGAGGGTCTTCTCGTGTGCTCACTGACTTTTTTGGAGGTGTGCACTTGCCAATTTTAGTAGATTTTCTTAAATACATGCTTCTTCGTTTTCTGCACATGCTTTAAGACATAATTGTCTCCACAGTTTCAAAAGATAATTAACTAGCCAAGTTTTGACAAATTGTTCCACACTGGTGGTTTGTCTGGGTATAAGGTCTACAAAGCCACATCACCAGGTGGCCTTCCTACATCAGGAAACTATTTGAAAATCAAGTAATAACCTAGTAAGAGTGAATTCAGTTTTTATAAGTTTAATGGTTAGAAATCATCTGCCATTAAAACTCCTGTAGCTATTCATGGCAAGATTCTAGGGGAGGGAAAGCTATTTCAAGAGCCATATGTTAGGAAAGAGTGTTTATGTAAATACACTTGTTGTAGCATGAATTCCCAGAGCAACAAACTGACATTCAGTTCACAGCAATGGGGTTACTATGTGGAAAAGCGCATGTTGCAGCCTTTATAATAATTTAGCAGTCGTTGAGCTGAAAAACTTAACATGGACTTCTCTAGCTTTGAATACCTAATATGTTGAATGACATCTTAGGGGCAAGCATTGACGACTTCATCCACTCTGTGGAGCGGCAGAACATAGCTTTGGAAGTCGACGCTTCTGGAGCCAGAGATGGCACAGATGACCCATCCTACAATGGGGCCCTTATTGTGTCTGGTAACGAGAAGGTACGCTGGGCTCTAGCTGAGAATTTCCACCAAGGTAGAAAGATAATCTAGCACTCAAATACTCAGGTCTTCAGCCTCAGATATAGAAACCCAAGCAAATACTTTTTATTTTTGCTTCGTGAACCTTATTCATTAATATAATAAATAATTCTTGCGTCTATCACATTCGCCAACAAAACCCATGCATATTAGCAAAATATATACTTTATTCAAGTTCATTAATTATTCATACTTAATGTTATATTTGAGACCAGAAAATTCATATTTCTTTTTATAGATTTTTATGCCATATATGTTTTAGAAATACTGTTTTGTTTGTGACAATAAACATTTCAAAAATAATTCTAGCCTGAAGCAAGCCACTTGGCAGATTTATTACATGGCTTTGTTTTACTTCAAACATGCTTTGTTTTACTTATGCCAGTGTTTGCTTTTATTTACACAGCATTTTGGTTCATTTTTGAAACTGTAATTTGCTTATATAATTTGTGGGATTCTTTTGTTATTATTTGAGACCATTTTAAAAACATGATCGTGGGGCCAGAAATGTATCTCATTGTAAGTGCTCACTCTCATATATGAGGTCTTTGATTTGTTCCCAAGCACCACCAAAAAACAATGACAACATCATCACATCTTAAAATACTGAATTTGAATATCTTTAGGGGGAAAAAAAAAAGAAGATCTTTGGTAATTAAGCGATCTTACTCATTATGTTGTAGAATCAAAGCTTTTCATTTGCATGCAATACCAAGAGACTGAACTGCTTTCCAGTTCTGATGGACATCCTTAGCAATGGGCTGCTTGGAATGGTTAAACCATCAGGACGCATCCAAACTGACAGAAGCACATACTTTGTGGTAAGTTCAAGTCCTTTGGAGCATCCTTGCAGATCATCCTTTCAAGTACTGAATCATAGCCTTTTGGAGTCAACCATTACATAACCAAAACTTGGATTCACATTGACTTACTGTGGCTTTGGAAAAACAGTGTATTTTGGGGCTTTTTAAAATGCAAACTAAATCATTTTCCAAAGAGGATATGAGATGACAAAAGTAAAATCATGCAGTACTGTGATTAACACAAAGTAATGAACAAACAGAATGAAGAAAAGAAAGGAGGGATTGGGAGGAAGGAGAAACGAGATTAATTGCTACTTTTACAAATGCTACCAAAGAGATCTGGACAAAACTTAGCCTGGAATTCCAGACTGTTCTTATTATAATCACTCCTGGTTCTTGCAAAAATATCAAGTCCTTTGGCCTACCTTAGTCCTACCACACCAGCTTTTCCAAAATACAAAGCAAAGAAAAAAAATCCATTTCTCTGCCTGACAGTCACGGTGGTTTATGGGAGTCTGGACTCCTGGGAGATGGAGACAGAGGATCCCCGGGAAGCTGCTAACTACGTTGCCCTACCTATGTTCAAATGAGTGAGCCTGCCTCAGTATGTAACACAGAGAAGAAATGGAGAGAGACAAGCACATCAACTTTTGCAACCCCACTTATACCTGCACACATGCAAACAGGCATACACCATATACATGGACAAAAAAAAATTATATTTCTAACCCAAGGCCTGATCAATTGAGCATAGACAACCCTTCAAATTTAGGAACTGGGCAACCATCTTTGGAGAAGATTCCTTTATTCTCAAAAATACTTCTCCCTATTACAGACTTAGTATTTTTAAATGTTTTTTTTAACTTAATATTTGAACATTGTTCTATGTAGTATTTTGCCTGAATGAATATATGCCTGTGTACCACTTGTGCGGCCTTTGAGGCCAGAAGCCATCATATTCTTTGAACCTGGAGGTACAGATGGTTATGAGCCATCATGTGGGCGCTGGGAATAGAACCTAGATTCTCTAGGAGAACAAGCTATACTCTTACTAGCTGGGCCATCTCTTCAGCTCTACATCTTTTAACACATTTAAATGTATTTACCTGTACCCACAGACAAGCCGGGACACAGGAAGTACTTACCAACTTACTTTCTTAAACACATAAATGAATATCTATGACTGACTCTGTCCCATTCAGCTCTCTGGCCTAGTGTCTGTAGTTATAATTCTTTTTAAAAATATGGTTAATCAAGCAAGCTGTGGGAATCTTAAAATGATGATGGCTTTCAAGAGTTTGTGCATCCCCTTTCCTTGAAGGCAGTTGCAGTGGCTACAACCAACAATAGGGTCGCTTGGTCCTTTCAGACCCCCTCCTCATATTCCAGCTCTGCTTTGGGATCCCCCTGAGGCACAAAGCACTTGATATGATTTTTGAGCCCAGCTACCACATTTGAGATATTTAAAGCTCAGTTTGGAAAACCGAGGATGTCAGCTGTGACTTAACCTAACATCAGAGCAAACCGTAGGATAACTGACATAAAATGTATTGTTAATAATTTCCAGCTGTGCAAAGTTTTGAATTGCTGCGTGCTCTCTGAACAGTTTGAGCATGAAGTGAGGCAGTCCAAAATCAAGCTTACAAGCTGCAAGCACAGTGAAAAGCCTAGAGATCCCAACAAAGACCTAAGGCATACAATCAATTTAATAATTTAATTTATGCCGTAAAAAAAGAAGCTCAGAGTTTGTTCATTCAGCTTTGCTTTTGCAGAACATAAACGCTAATCCATTTGAATACCTGGGGTATTCTGCATTCTGGCTGGTCCTGACCTCCACTTGTCCTCCTTATATCGCCATGAGCAGCGTCGGGGACTATAAGGTAACAATGAATTCCAAGTAATTCTAACTTCAGTTACTTTCTATGGTTAGAAGCTGAAAGGAGAATGATAATGCTTCTTTTATGAAGACACATACGTATGCTTGATTGAGAGGCCAAATAAAAATTAATTGGCTGTTTTGTAAGTTCAAACATGTCTCTGTAGATTGAAGAAAATTCTTATAAAATGTTACAGATAGGCAAAGAACCTAGAATAAACAAAACAACTTTGAAATAGATAATAAAGTCTGAAGACATCAAGACTCAGTACAGAGTTGTAGTAAATAAGAATTTGGAGAGCAAGATGATTGGTTAATCAGGTGAAAGCATTTTGTTGTGTAAACCTAAGAACCTGAGTTCAAGACCCAGAACCCACAGTGGAAGAAAAGAACCAGCTGCCAAAAGTTGTCTTCTGACCTCCATCTGCATGCCATAGCCTTCACACCTTCACAGGCTTGTGTATGTACACAACACACACACACACACACACACACACACACACACTCTCACACACACTACTGATGCAGTTTTTAATTAATACAGTTAAGTAATTCAGTATGGTAATTAAGTACAATCATACAGCTATACAAATGGAATACAAAATTCAAAACTAAATCCATACACCTAGCATCAATAGATTTTCAAGCTGAAAGGTATTGAAAATGTATGGAGTCCTTAAATCAATTTTTTTTAATGCACAAATGTTCTAGCAAATATTTTGCTGAAGAAGGGACACAGAAGGGAAATATTTTCAAGAACAATGGCTGACATAATGAGTAATCAGAGAAGTGACCCCATTGAGATAAGATTTTACACAAAATGAATCTTGTTCAAATGACTTGTTCAAATAACTGGCATTAACAGGAATCTCTGAAACTCTTATGCAAGCTGGTACCTGGGTAAATTGCATGATCACCTTGCAATTGGACTATTTCTTGTAAGCTTAAAAATAGTTATTGTTGCAACTTTTAACTTTTTACCTAAAGAGAAAAACCATCTATACACACTCATAAAGGACTGAATATTATGGTTTTAGCAGTTTAATTAACAATAACCAATGATTTGAAATAACCTAGATGCCCATCCAGATATAAATTAATAAAAAAATTCTGGTATAAGCATGCATACAATTGAATTCTTCTTGGAATAAGTATTTTAAAAATTGCAATGTTCAACCGACAACTTGTAAATTCTAACTTGTACTGTGTTTCAGATTCAAATGAATCTTTACTGTGTCTGTAACTTACAGAATACATGATATATAGCAACTGTATACTATACTATTGTGTATTAATGCAGGCGCTCGCCAATAGCTATAAATTACTGTGTATACAATGTTAGTATAGTTACCTATATGATTTATATGTAATTATATTTATCATATAATTATGTCTGCTATATAGTGTATTTTAAATTTCTTAAAGGTTTAGGATATAGCTCAGTTGGTGGTGTGGTTGCGTACTGTGCATGGATTCCTGGGTGTTAGGAGAAGCAAGACGAACAGGAACACAGTGTGTTTAAGACTGGCATGGGCTCTATTAAACCCTGTCTCAGAAAATACAGTTAAATTGAGTCAGTTATAGAGTATTACATATGTATATGTGCGGTTATGGAGACAAAGGAACCACCACAGTGGGAAATGAGTTTCTGGATAGCTAAAGCTTCCATTCACACACACACACACACACACACACACACACACACACACACACAAACACACACACACACACACATACCTGTAAGTCTCTGTGCACACACTGTGGTGTTCAAGCTCTGTTAATATAAAGTCTTCCTCACATATTCCTCCCAAGTATGTGATGGACCTCAGTCCTCAGTGTGACCTCACTGAAGCAGCCCATTGACAGCTAAACCCCTTGACCATCTGCACCTCTTAGCCTGGGTACTACTTGTTGCCGTAGTCAGAGTTATTATAAATAAATATCTACTTTGAACATTCACTGAATCAATCTAGGTTTTCTTAAAACTCAAGCTGAAGTCCCAATTTGTGTCTCTGCTCTCTCTGGACAGAACAAAGCCTGGTTCCAGCTGCGGGTCTCCGGCCTCTTCCCTTCCGCTTACTGGTTAGGGCAGGCACTGGTGGACCTTCCCCTCTACTGCTTTGTCTTCATTTTTATGTATCTAATGGACTACCTTTTAAGCTTTGGGAATACTAAGTTTACTTTTGTAAACCACGTCATACAAGTAAGTGCCAATATCCTTCATGCGAATTGTATGAATTAACTGAAAAAGTTGAAGATGCAAACTGCTTTCGCCGGCAGCGCAGTGCTGGACACCAACTTTAGGAGTGTACCATGGCAATGCTTGGGAGCCTGAGTATTTTCCTGGGTCACATGACTCTCTAACTGAGCCTTGCACTCCTGTTGCTTTTAGATTCCCTGTTCCATTGGCTACGCCACATCTCTTATCTTCTTAACATATCTGATTGCATTCATTTCTCGCAAGGGGAGAAAAAACAGCGGCACTTGGTCATTCAGCTTCTTTGTTGTAAGTATGTTACCTGTTGACATTTATTGTACATATTCAATATAAACTTCTAAGCAAATGCTTTATGTCCTTGGTAAAGTGGGCATTGATATTTCGTTTCCAAATATTTACATTAGCCTCAAGGACAGAGAGCGTTGGAAATCTGCACCTCCCCACCCCAGCCTGTTGCTATCTTTGTCTTTCATTGAAAGACCACATTGTTTCTAAAACTATAAAATACTGATTTAGAAGGAAACCAGAAAATCATTGAAAAGGAAGTAATTAGAAAGATCTCCACGATTTTACCCCACTTCTGTTACTGGTTTAGTTATAACCTGAGACTATAGGACAGGAAAGGTAGCTGAACTGTTAAGAGCACGCGGCTCCTGCAGAGGACCTAAGTTCAGTTTGCAGCACCCCTGTCAAGTAATTCTAGTTCCAGGGGATGTGATGCCCTCCTCTGATTTCAGATACAGAACCCTTAGATGTGCCCATATACACAAGCATTTGTAAACACACACGTACATGCACATAAAATAAATCAAAATAATATATTAGAAAAAATAGAAACTGCTTTTTCAGACTCCTTGGAGGATCAACCCCACAAAGCCACATTTTTGTCTAAATTACATCATCCCAAAATGTAATATATGATGATCATGGCAATTTCCTGTGATTTCATGACGACAAAGAGTACATTTATTTAAAATTGAGTGAAAATGTATTGGCTTCTACAGTGTGTTGCAAATGACGACGACAAAGAGTACATTTATTTAAAATTGAGTGAAAATGTATTGGCTTCTACAGTGTGTTGCAAATGAAGATTGATTGCAAGGGAAAATGGAACGTATCACCCCTGAAAGAGTTCCAAAAGATAACAGTTAATAGACAACAGTTTATTAAACTCAGCATAAATGATCTCTGTGCTATTTCCCATCGTGAGAGTCTATTACACAATAAAGCAATAATGAGATCTATGGAAATAGTGAGTAGGGCTGTTTATAAAGACGGGAGCGGAAATTTCACGTAAAAAGTAAAACCTAGGGCTGGGGAGAGGTCTCCGTGGGTGAAATATCTGCTGTGTGAGCATGAATACCTAGTCTAGCTCTCCCGAACCCAAGTTTGAAAAGGGGGAGGGGAGAGATGGCTGCATATGCGACCGTAACTTCAGTATTAGGGCATGAAGACAGGCAGAGCCTCAGGGGTCACGGGCTACGCAGCCTAGCAAAATGGTGACACATGCTCAGGAATAAGCAAACCCATAAACACAAACACACACACACACACACAGCCTCACAGCCCACATATCAAACATGAAAAGATGAAATCCGGAGAAGAGAAAGATTTCAAACATATAAAAGGTGTGATGATACATTTTAGGAAATAAAGGATGAACAAAAATCCTACAGGGGAGTCTACCCCGGCTTCTCCCAGGAGCTGGTAGTATTTTGCAGTGTAGATGATAAATACAAGAGATAAATTAGGAAGAATATTCTAGAAACTGTACAAATCTTTTTTTTTAACACTAACAAAAACCTCTGGAAGTACATAAATGTTGAAGAGATCAACACAAAGTTTTTAAAAGAAAAAAATGTGAAGGTTTTTATATCTGAAATTTTTTCTATTCCCAGAATTTTGTCTTGTAGTATTTCTGCTTATTTTTCTACACTCCCAAGGCTAACAAAAATTCTGCTCCTATTGTTGCTATTGTTTTCTTTTTCCCAGTCAAATGTCAATTTCAAATTTCCCCAGTAATTAATGCTTATCCTATTCTGAAATTGACCTGCAAAAGAAAGACATACCATCTTCTCTCCCTTGTCCATAGGTAAAGTAATTCATATATCAGGTCCTAGGTTTATCTAGTGCTGGTTCACATGTGATGGTCTAGGCTGAAGAAAGTTTACTATGTCGCTAACAGCAGAGGATGTTAATGCAGATACATTGACTTCGTTTTGGATGCTGAAGTTGGGGTTGAAATTTGGAATGACCTACCACATGTTCCTCTCTTATGCCTATCTAGACTTAAATATATGTTGTGTGAGAAAATAGACATGAGTCTTTAAAGAAGCAAGGACACTGTCATCACAAAAGGCATCACTTTGAATGCCAACTTTTAAAACTAATTTAACACGAGTGGAAAGCAAACTTGGACTACACTGTCTTCATCATGAACCCTCTTGATCCGGAAACATGAAATTAAGAGCAGCTAACGTGCATGTTTGTACTCCCTCTAGATTACCATGTTCTCGGTAATTGCGATCATACTGGATATCCAAGGGAATGGCATGCTGTATTACATCACCTTTTTAATACCACACTCCACCCTGATTGGCTGTTTGATGTTGTCTGTTCGTGTAAGTAAGACTACTGCCTTACATCCTGAAATTCATGACAAATTATAAAAGTCTGACATCTTTATGGGTCCTCTCTAGGTCTTGCAGAATATGCACGAGGATGCCAATGGTTTTTCTCCCAGATGGGACAGTGTGTTCTGCTTGAATTTTAATAGAGCAGCTGACACTTTTTAAATCATGGAGAGGAATCAGGATGGGTGGTGGGAAGCAGCAGTGTTCCCAGACATTTTATGCCTTTCATGTTTCTAGGCTTACATAGCTTTTGAAAGGGTCCAAATAAAATGATGCTAATCTTCAGGATTTCAGGGTTTGAGAGGCATCTGACATAAATACATTCTTTTCTTTCTATATACTGATATCTATGCCTCTGTAAGAAGAAGAAAGTTGCAGGGCATAGTAAGGGTACCAACGAAGGAAGATATGGAGAAGAGGGTATCACAGAGAAGAAGGGGTACAGGAAGTATGTCAGAAGTTCTGTGCAATAAGACTGAGTACAGTCTCTCATCATTTGAGGAGGCTGGCTCAACAAACCCCAGATCCCCTGTCTCCAAGTGATCAATGAAGCTCATTGCTTCAAATGAAATTTCATAGACCTTAGGAGCAAAGATGCCAGTTTCTTGGTGCCCATGTCAGAATAAACACATGTCTGAAATTTCTGGTGCACTAGGAAGAAATGCCATTGAGATTGCTTAGGTCCAATTTATATTCCTACAGATAAAAATCTGTGAGATGAATTTTTCCTGTTTAACTATGTTTTTTTTTTCTTTTCTAGCTTCTCATGTTTCATCTCTTTGATGAAGAATTGGTGATTGTAGAGCCATTTCTGGTATTCCTCATAGTAAGAATGTGTTCTTTCACTGTGTTTTAAACCATACCCAACCATATTAATTCCTTTTCATGCTGTATTTTTTATTACTGTAGAGATGAGATTTCTATAATACATACAAATACAATATTTGTAAAATCGGAGACTATTTTTATAAAGATTAAATGACAAGATAATTACTTGCACAGTTGTACCTGTGAGAGAAAATAATGATAGCTTATAATCATAGTTGATTTGTAATGAAAATTATTTCAAAATATATCAAGAAAGTTGTTGGAAATTCGTTATAATGTTACTAAATATATTTTTGTCAAGAATTATTCCTATTTCACCTCATACTAAGACAAGGCTTTTTTGTGTTTTCTAATTGTACTTTTCTCTCTCTTTAATCCTAGCCTTTCCTTCATGTTTTCATTTTTATTTTTATTCTTCGATGTCTGGAATGGAAGTTTGGAAAGAAAACAATGAGGAAGGACCCTATCTTTAGGTAGGAAGAGATCAAATTGAGGATTATTTTGTTTTATTCATCACAATTCTCTGTTTCTTTCATGCATGAACAAACACACTAATAAATATATGCCCGTGTGTTGGGATAGACTGTGGCAGAACAATGTATGTGTGCCAACAGAAACGAAGGTTCACAAACCAAAGAGGATTAGGAGGCAGTGACAGAAACAGAGCTACAGGGCTGCCTGTAAAATCTCTGGCAGGCACTGGAGGAGCTGTGACTGGGCTGTTTCTAAAAAGCAATTGATTTGAATAAAGAGGTGTTTGGTTTTGGTTTTGTCTGGTTGGTTTTTTTTTTTTAATGCTGCCATTTGGAAATAGGGAATAGACTAATCCCCAGGCAGCAAGAGCGATAGCTCTGTTCTCCTGGAGTAGCGAGAAGCCCAGACCGTAGCCCACAGACTGTTTTCGTTTCAGATGACACACAAAGCAGAGCTACTTCTGTACCCGTTCACGGATGCACCATGGGATTCTCGCTCCCCCCCCCCCCACGGTTGCACCTTCTGCTGTTACAGGTGGTGGCATAAAAGACTGTCAAAATGGAAGCAGCCGTGTAGAAAGGTTCAGTCCCATGTGCAGAGCAAGTCAATGAAAGAGATTAGCGTGGACTATGTGTGTGTATGATAGGCCTGGCTTGGGAAGCGGGGGGTGGGGGGGAGGAATGTGACATGGGTTACAGAGACGTAGTCCGGCATAGTGAGAGATCAAGCATGTGACTTGTATGTTCTGAAACAGTACTTTTTCCTTTTTTATTCTTTGGAAATTGTACACATAAAATAATACATCTTGGTCATGTCTATCCGCCATTCTCTACATCCAATTACCCTGCAGCCCATCTCACATCTCCCTCCCAACTTGATGTGCTTTTTTCAGAACACACTGAATCCACTTAGTAATATCCATACACAGATGGGTGTGCGGTCACCGCTTGAGCAGGCACCCTCCCATGCCCATCCCTCCCTGAAAGAAAGGTGACCCTCCCTCAGCAGCTGCTAAGTGCCTATAGACCTCAGCTGGAGCTGGGGCATCAGGAGCCCCACCCCATGGTGGAGTTTCAGCTGACTTAGTATGGTGCATGTCTTACACAAGTAACCTCAGCTACGGTCAGTTCATGTGGGCAACGCCACGTGATAACCAATGAACATTTCACAGCACTCCTCCCCATCCCCTGGCTCTTGCGTTCTTTCTGTCCACTCTTTCCTGATGTTTCCCGAGCCTTAAGGAAGGGGGTGAAACACACGTTCCATCTATGACTGAGAAGGCACAGTGTCTTATTTTCTGAAACAGTACTGATTTAAATTGTTCTGGTCCATTTCCCCCATGAAAACATAATAGTTTACTTTGCCGAGCTATGTGTACTATTAAAATAAAAGGGGGGGATTTGTCAAATAAGTTCTAAGTTATCTGCTAGCACTGAAAATAATCTTCCCATAGCTAAATAGAAAGTGAGACAGGTAAGGAGTGAAGTCACTAAGCATGGTAGTGCTGTTGACAGGGCAAGAGGAGTCACAAGGAATGAGTGAGACTGCACCAAAGGGAAACCATGGTGCATGAGTATGCAGTTCTAAGATTGCATCCTTGTTGACACACAGATAAAAGCCACAAGTCAATTATTAATGGGTGGTTTTGACCTTAGAATTTCTCCAAGACACAATGACGTGCATCAAAATCCAGAAGAGCCGGAAGGAGAAGATGAAGATGTTCAAATGGAAAGAACAAGAGCAGCTAATGCCTTGGCATCCACCAGTTTTGTTGAGGTAAACACACGAAGTGTCGAGTAAATGTGTACTCATTAAAGCAACTGGTCTACCAGACTAATTCTATAATGATGTTTAGTTTCTTTCATCCTAGCAAATGAGTCACTATTTTGGAATGTGCCCATTGTTTTAACATATAAATGAGCAGACTGAATGTCAACTTTTTCAATTCCTTGTTATTAACTAAAATCAGAATACAGCTGAAATCACAAAAATCATGAAAGACTTGAGAAACCGAGGGTATAGTGGCATATGACACTATTTCTAGTGAGAATGTACAGTATTCAACATATGGCACACTGTCTGGTGCTTTTTGTGCCTTTTTGCATGTTTGGGGAGCCAGGCTGGTTCTATAAAATAATGTGTTTCTTGGTAGATGTCTTTGTAGGGGAGGAATGTCAGTGACTTCTCTCCAAAAACAGGAACTAGCATAGAATAGTCTGCTATGATGGGGCCTATTAAGAAGTCTCTTTGATAGAGAGCAGCAGCAGTGAAGGAGAATACCGATGGGAGGTTACAGTTCATTGAAAGTCAGGAGAGAACAGAATCTGACACGACCTTCTTCTCATTTTCAGAAGCCAGTCATTGTTGCCAGCTGCCTACGCAAAGAGTATGCAGGCAAGGGGAAGCCTTGCCTTTCCAAAAAGAAGGCCAAGATAGCCACCAGGAACGTCTCCTTCTGTGTCAGGAAAGGTTAGACATGGGGTTTCAACAGTTGGCTCAACTTTCCTTGTTCCCGAGGAAAAACCTTCATATGCTGTCTGCTCACTCAGATGCAGAGCCCTCATTGGGGTAACCTGATAATCCCTTTATACACCTTCATTTGCAGGTAAACTCATTTACTCCAAGAATAGGGGCCCAGCCATTTCTACATAGAAACCAATACTATTATATGACCCATAAAAGTCATTACATTTATATTAAACTCACACAACTGACATTCAAATGCTTATTAATTTTTAAAGAGAATTGGTTAGGGGAAGGTGCCAGCACATACTGAAAGCTTAGCTAGCCAGTGTTGGGGGAATGCGGTTTGACTCATTACTGTAAAAGGCTGAAGAGTGCAGGAAACAGAATCACACACTCTTAGTTTCTAAGGATGGCTTTCCAATTGCCATTAACGTAATCTTGGAAAAATACCTCATTCTTGAGAATTTTTATCACCAAGCCTGGAAGAAAAGATTGTGATAATTTCTCAGGATGGTTGTGACAGTTGTACAGTTACAATATACAAACATATCATAGGACATGCATCACACGGTGAGACCTCAGACTGTTTTATGCTTAATTTTACTGTAAATTTAAATTCAATACAATCTCTGTGTTTCAGGTGAGATCCTAGGTTTGTTAGGACACAATGGAGCTGGCAAAAGTACATCTATTAAAATGATAAGTGGAGACACAAAAGCCACAGCTGGACAGGTAGGTGGCACACTATTAGAAAATTGTCAGATGTCACAGCTTTATAAACCATAAGATTCTGTTCCGTCTATAGATGATTGAAGTGGTGGATGAAATGCTTCATCAGTTCAGTTCAAATGGGACACATGATACATATAGAAACTGAGTCCCCAAGGAGAACAATGATTTAAACCTTCAAAGGTACACAGAAAGAATGTTCTGTGCCAGATTAAATATATACATATATATATGTATATATGTATATATACAAATCCTATACCATTTGTCAATAAAACACTTCTGATGGCCACTTCCTCTTAGCATGAAATATTTTAATCTTGAGTAAAATTTTAGTAAATTCACTGTCCTTTAGAAAGCACTAAGTTGCTCAAATATTTATTTTTATGTAAATACACTATTAGGAAGTTAACACTGTTAAAAAAAAAGGGGGGGAACATCAGAAAAGTGAAGTTGACCTCATACATATGTGAAGAGATTGAATAAAGTGGACAAGAAAACAAAAAGAGATGATTGATCAAAAGACACATCATGGGATAGAAATGAAACCTTTCACCAAATTGTGCAGCCGAATCATGAAAATCCCTTTGGAAAGTCCAGGGAGGTCAGGGGAAACCATAAAGCAGAAGCCTGTGAATCTTCACCTTGGAAGAGGGGTTGGCGGTCAAGCCAACGGGTGAAGAGATAGGCGGGGTACAATTGACAGATATCCCACCAAAGACAGAGAAGATGACGACGAGATGAAGCCAAGGTACCAGCAGGCATTCATCGGTAAGTGGTGGTGAGTTGCCAACCCTAGAGAGAACACTCATCTCAGCTGCAACCTGTCTCCAGTGCTTTCAACCTCAGTCGTTTTTTTGACCCCAGCTCACTAACGTCTTCCTCATTAGGTGTGAAAGGACAGCAGATGACTTTTCATTGGTATATTGCAATGAAACACTTTAAAAGTAAGAAGGCTGAGGAGATGTTAAGTTAGTAGATGGCTTGTTGCACAGGCCTGAGGACCTGAATTCACCCTCCAGAAATCACAGGGAAAAAAAAAATTCCAGCATGGTGCTGTGTGCTCTTAATCCTAGTGCTGGGACCGGTAGAGGCGGGCAGGTGCATTCCTGGAGCTCACTGGAAAGCCAGCCTATTCTAACCGGTAAGCTCCAAGCCAATAAGAGAGCCTCTCTCAAAGATAAATAAGTAAACCAAGATACATATGTCCTGAGTTTGACTGCCATGGAAGCAGCCAGCATGGTGGTTTACAGCCTTGTGGTTCTGCCTCAGTACTTTCAGCAACCCCTCTACTCTGTGACTATCGGGTCACCTCCTACTTGTCTTACAGGTAGAGAGAGAAGATGATGACCTCTGTGTCCTTCTACTGTACTTCTCCCTCCATTGCTCGCTCTGCTCCAGTCCACCCTACCTTGCCTCATCCTAGAAACAGCATAGCAACTTGCATTCCTTCATAGGCTTCGACCTTACTCTCTGCTTGGTGCCAAATCCTCACACACACACACACACACACACACACACTCAGAAGTCTCTGGCATTTTCCCATGACCGGCAACAACTTCTCTTCCATTAAAATGAGCCCTTTTGGGGACGACAGGCTAATCAAGTGACCCCAATTCACTTCCACAGTTCCTCTCCGTCTAAGCCTTCCGATGTCCACCACAGCAGCACTCTGACTGTCCTTATGTCATGTGCTCCTTCCTCTTCCTGTTTTCTCAGTAGAAAAAAAAAACCTCCAAAAACAGTGCACTGGTTGCTTGAACCCCTGTTCTTCAAGCAGTAAGCACAGCATCTGTCACAGATGTTCAGAGAACACTGAGCAACAGGTGAGACAGTTCATTTAGAAAGCTGTGAAATCGTTGGCTATGAACTGGGGACCAAAGTGGCCTTGCAGGATCCTTCACAGTCCACTTAGACTACGTTTCTGATGGCACACACATTTCTTTACATGTAATTACTACTAATAGGCTCTTTCCACATAAAAAATGATGGCAAACGATTAAGCTCCCTTTGGTCTTGGAGTTATGTGGGAGAGCTCCCACGGAAGTACTCCTTGAGGCTGTGTGAGAACGTGGACTCTTAGTAATGAACTTCTTTCCATAGGTGCTTCTGAAGGGGAGTGGTGAAGGGGACACCCTGGGGTTCCTGGGGTACTGTCCTCAGGAGAACGCTCTGTGGCCCAACCTCACTGTGAGGCAACACCTGGAGGTATTTGCTGCGGTGAAGGGCCTGAGCAAAAGTGACACTGCAGTCACCATTACAAGGTACTTGGGTGGGAGCACACCTAGAAAAGGAGGAGGTCAGGGAGAAGCTGGGGTGACAGCATTCACAGAAAACCTGGGGTGAAAATTTCAAGACACTGGGAAGATTAACAATTAGGGATTAGCTTTCCTGTTGGGGGGGAGGTGTTAATTTTTTCTGTCATATTAAATATAGAAAGAAAAGGGAATATATTGGTAAAATTTATTGAAAATACTAAAATTTAATGCATTGATTATAGATCAACTATTTGAATTCTGTTTAAAAAGGGCTCAACCCAGCCAGCAATATTTCCTTTCTCCCCATTACCATCACAAACACACACACACACACACACACACACACACACACACACACACACACACACGTATATATGTATGTATAATAGCTCCAGAACTCCATCCATAGACCCCCATCACCAATCACCGCCACATCCTCCCATCATCTCCCTTCACATGGAGCAGACGGTGACACTCCACTGTCTCTCTTCAGGTTGGCGGATGCGCTCAAGCTGCAGGACCAGCTGAAGTCTCCTGTGAAGACCCTGTCTGAGGGAGTGAAGAGAAAGGTAGGGCAGGGCTCGCTGCGGCCCTAAGCACACACCAGGCTGGTGCCACATCCTGTCCCTCTTGTTGCAGCTCTGCTTCGTGCTGAGCATCCTGGGGAACCCGTCTGTGGTGCTTCTGGATGAGCCTTCAACTGGGATGGACCCCGACGGGCAGCAGCAAATGTGGTGAGGAGCTGCCGCCGCTGGGATTGAACACACGTCAAGCAGGGAGCTGGAAAACTGCTTTACTCACCCGAAAGCTGCACTTGCCAAGCATTAGGACCAGGGTTCAGATTCCCAACACCCACATAAAAACACAGGGTGTGATCTTGCTTGCAATAATCTAGGCACCCTGGAGGTGGAGGCAAGAGTTGCTCTGGAAATCACTGGCCAGCTAGTGTTGGCCATTTGGTGAGCCCGGGCTCAGGGAGAGCCGCTACCTCAAAAACTAATGTGGGCAGCAGGACACCCAACATTGGCCTCCAGCCTCCACACATGTACACCTACACTCACCTTGCACATGCTAACAGGCACATACACAGGCATATAAAACACACAAAGAGACTTGTAAAACATGTATCCCAAACTTTTTATATGCATGGAAAACAAAAAAACACCAATATCCTTAGTAAAGCACTCTGTGAGATAGCATTTCTCTACAAAACTTCCTGAGGAAGGAGGAATACGTAGTGTCAGGCTGCAAGCCACTCACTCTGACTACTACAATGGCGCAGGTATCTCTGGGGCTGGTACAGTGGCGTTTGCACCACAACCAAGTGTCTAGTGCTGGGCATGAGACCAGCAGTTCTCAGGAAGTGGTAAAAGCTGCCTTTGGGGTTTGCTCTGCATCTACTCCCTTCTGCTGGCGTGGGCAGCGCTGTCGAGCTCCGCGGCATTCTGCTCCCATGAAATGCCTGTTTTGACAGAATCTCTGTCTTCGTACAGGCTCGTAACAAATGCTGTACCTTGCGAGTGCTCTTCCCAAAGCTCGCCGCCTTTCTCCATCCTTTTCCTATTTATTACAATGCCTTTTAAGTTGCCAACGTTGTCTTGACAATCTAGGCAAGCAATCAGGGCCATCATCAAAAACACAGAGAGGGGCGCCTTGCTGACCACCCATTACATGGCAGAGGCTGAGGCCGTGTGCGACCGAGTGGCCATCCTGGTGTCTGGGAGGCTGAGGTGAGTACTTGTCTTGAGACCACACTCACTCCCACAGTGTGTAACTAGACAGCTTTGCCTACAGACAGGAAATAAATTTAATGTCTGGAAACCATAGACCCCGGTTAACAGGAAGGACCCTAAGGCAGACCTAGCAGCAAGCTGAGGGGTTCAAACACTGTCCTACATGCTTTTCTCCCTATTCTGAACAAATCCTTCTCCAAATCCCAGGTGTATTGGCTCCATCCAACATCTGAAAAGCAAATTTGGCAAAGATTACCTGCTGGAGATGAAGGTCAAGACCCTCGAGCAGGTGGAGCCACTCAACACAGAGGTCCTGAGGCTTTTCCCCCACGCTGCTCGGCAGGAAAGGTAAAGCAGGCCTTTGGTTTTGATTTGGTACCAAAAGCTGGTTTCCCCCTGTTTGATATACTGCTGTGCAGTCAGCTGAAAGGAAACTTGGCCGAAAAAAAATTACTCAATAGATACATGATGGAAAGCAAGCCAGAGAAGATAGAGCTGATGTAAAAGCAGATGTATCATGTGTTGTGGCCCTACTACGTGCTGGGTACTGTGTATGGCTTGTGTCATCTTAGTTCTTCCTCACAGAGACTTTTCAGGGTCCAAGATTGTCATCCTAAACTAAAATGATGTATTGCCGGGGGGGGGGGGGTTGGAGGTGACTCGGGTTAAGTGATTGGTGTGCAAGCACAAGATTCCGAATCTGGTTACTCAATACCCACATAAAAAGCCCAGCATGAGCATACACCCCTGTATCCCCTGCACCAGGAGCAGAAGCAGGTGAATCTTGGTTGTTTGCTGGCCAGCTAGTCTAGCTGAACTGCTGAGCTCCAAGGAAGTGAGAGAACCTGTCTCTAAAAATAAGGTGGAGAACAATAAAGAAAATCACCCAAAGTTAATATCTGGCCTCTGTGTAAGCACGCTCTGACAAACACACACACATACTGTGATTCCAAAAATGTTCTGAGTCTGGCCTTTTAAACAGTGCACAGCCCCACCAAACAGAACTATATAATGAAGGTGCAGAGAATGACACAGTATAGGAGCTGGTTGCCCCATATGCTCTGAAAAAGAAAGTATCTTATGAAATACACTTTAAGTCTCTGTGATGTCCACATTTATCTTTTAAAAGTTATTATTTTAAATTTCCATTGCTGATATTACTTGGTAATGGATTCCTTGTCTCTTTGTCTGAAATTACATCCTTCGCTGATGAATATGATGGGGGAAGAGAAGAGAATACTGAGAATATGGTGGCACCCACTTGTAATCCTAGCTCTGAGGTGGGAGGGAAGCAAGAAAGGGAAAATCCCCAGAGTTCACTGGCCAGCCAGCCCAGCCACCTTAGCAGACTCCAGTCCAGAAATACACTGAAAAACAAAACAAGAGATAACGTCTTAGGAACTGTGACCCACACACATGAGTGAGCATCCACATACATACACTCACATTCACACACATTGTGGACACACAGAAAGAATAAGAGCGTAGACGTGCTGAAGAATTCCCAGTCCTAATTGAAAAGTCACCGCTGACCAGAGGGACGCTTGCACTTAGTTCATGTGCCTTAGCTCACCTCTCCTTCCTTGCTCTCAGGTTCTCTTCTCTGATGGTTTACAAGTTACCAGTGGAAGACGTGCAGCCTTTAGCCCAAGCTTTCTTCAAGTTAGAGAAGGGTAAGAGCCATGTCTCAGAGACTGAGACCCTGAGGAGAGAACAATTCTAAATCGTACCATAATCTGTGCCCATAACAGAAATGAAACGTGGCATAACACAATAAGATTAAAAGTTAGATATTAATCTGAATTTTAGAAGCACCAACATTAAGGAGAAATGGTAGTGAGTCTTACTTTCGCTTTCCAGGTTTTTGGTGTGTTTTTTGCATATATATATATATATATATATATATATATATATATATATATATGCACATATATATTTTGCACATATATATGTGCAAAATCACACACACACACACACACACATATATATATCGGTACAGTGTGAGTCAAACTTAATTACATTTAAGAAAATGCTTTCTTTAATTTTCTGTGGACTGGTTTATTGTTTTATTGCTGTAATATAACTGACTACTAGGCATAACAGCTCATGCCTGTAACCCAAATACTCTGGAAACTGAGGCAGGAGGATTACCACATGTTCCAGGCCAGCAAAAGCTAGAGTGAAACACTGTCTCAAAAAAAGAAAAAAGAAAGAAAGAAAGGAACGAGAAGGGAAAGGAAAAAGGAAGAGAAGAGAAGGTCAGATCTACTAGATCTAGAAGACCTTTGTGACCCCTGCTGACAGTATGTGTAGCCACGGTGACCCATCTTTCTCCCATTCTCTGAGCTAAGTGTCCCACTCTCCGGGCCTCGTGGCCATTTGCTACAGTCACTCTGCAGCTCTATCCCAAGCCCAACACTAGCCTTGGACCTTGGGGCGCATACTACCAACCTGCTTGGCTCCTACTCAAACTCTAACTGCCCTTCTGGTTGGCAAGGAAGATTCCAAGTTCAATCAAATGACTCTTCGGTGCCTTTGAACCCTGACAATGCAGCCACTTCTGATGAGAACTGATAGACTAAGATCAGAAAGAAGGAGAGCAGGACCTTCCCTATCAGTAGACTTGGGGAGGGGCATGCATGCAGAAAGGGGGGGAGGGTGGGACCGGGAGGGGGAGGAGGGAGGGGCTTATGGGGGGATACAAAATGAATAAAATGTAATTAATAAAAGTTAAATAAAAAAAAGGTGTGTGAAGCCACCCCCTCCCTAGCAAACCTCAGACAGCCTTCTCCAGAATCATCAGAGGCAACCTGATTCAGGTGTCTTAAATCCACATCTTCCTATGTGGATGTGCAAAACCACTGGCTCATGGCTCATGGCTCATGCATAAGAAAGGAACGTTTCCCACTCTCATTTTCTTTCTTAAGCCCAGAGTCCAGAAAGCACACAGCATATAAGCCTAGCTCAAGCAATGCTTCCCCAGTCAGAGAAAACATGTTGATGCATTTTCAAGTGAGTGGAATTGTCGTAACATAATTAACAGTTTAATTGTGCGTACCTCCTGTTGGCTTATGAAACTGTCTACATGAGAAAATATTTATGCTCCTAAATACATTTATCCTTACACAGTTAAGCAGACCTTTGATCTGGAGGAGTACAGCCTTTCCCAGTCCACCCTGGAGCAGGTGGGTCAGTTGTACTGATTTTACCACCCATGAAACACACACATGTAATTTGCTTACTCTTACCTCACTTGTGGCCACATGTGACATCTCTCCTTCTTCTCCATCCTTCCCAGGTCTTCCTGGAGCTCTCCAAGGAGCAGGAGCTGGATGGTTTGGAGGAGGAACTAGATGTCTCGGCGAATTGGAAGCTCCTCCCACAGGAAGAAGCTTAACCCAAAAATGCTTCCTGTTCCTACGTAAGACTGTGTCGTTTCTTAAAGACAATTATTTTTATAGGACCAGTGAAATATTTTAGTATCTATATTATAAACACCACGATGGTTCTTCAGGGGTTGGAGAAAAGGGATGAGCGCTGGGTAGAGGCTGGACCACAGGGCAGCCTATCTTCTACCACATCTCCATAGGGCATCTCTAGAGAATGCTAAATAAAGTTATTTTTATACTATTGTTTGAATTTCTGAGTGTGATATATTTAGTTAAAACTTTTAGATAATTTTTTTCATCAAAACATCTCAGCATGCTTTTCTAATGTAGAATGTGAAATCCATACATTTACTCTCAGGGTACCTGATGCTCTGAAGAGTCAGTTACAGCTAAAAATACTAACAAGCCATTGGACACAACATCACAGTAACCACATATGTAAGATATCCACTGACAACCTGATTGTGTAGGCATAATCTGGAAAGCCAAAACTTGCCATGAGAAATTAGTTGTGCCATATTTTTACTGTAACATGAAAGCTGAGCATTAGAGATGCCTGAGTTAAAACTGATCTTTTATAAAAATTTGTTATGTGGCTTCAGAAAACTCATGAATATAGTTTTGAATCACATAATCACCAAGCATATGAAAAAGTAAAATCACACACATACACATACAGAGAGAGAGAGAGAGAGAGAGAGAGAGAGAGAGAGAGAGAACATCAATGAATCTAGCCATGACCTGACTGGCTTGAAACTGTCTATCTACACCAGGCTGGCCTCAAACTCCCACAAAGATCCAATTGCCTCTGCCTCTCTCTAATGCTGAGTTAAAGGAATTCACCAGTATGCCCAGCCAATTTTTCTATTTCATGGTCTTCATGTGCTTTCCCCCTTTCCTTCCTCACTGGTCTCGTATTTACAAATTTCATAAAAATCATTTTAAAATATTTTCTAATATGAGCAACGATCATGCTAACATGAGCTGGTGAGGGTTTGGATAGGCTAACATTTAGATCAATATAATCTAAAACAAACCCCTTTGTTCCCATTCGTGTTTATTGCCATAAATCCAGCCAAGTAATGATGAAGATTATCTCCTGTTTTTGTTCCTTTTCCTTTTTTAAATTTTATTTTATTTTCATTAATTACAGTTCATTCACTTTATAACCCAGCTGTAGCCCCCTCCCCACAGATGAACACAACTACACCAGGCTTTTTAAAGGGGGCTTAAAGGGAGTCCTGGGGATGTAAACTTAGATCCTTGTATTTGTACAGCAGGCATTGTACTGATTGAGCCATATCCCTGGTTCCCTAACATTCTTACTTTTTTAACCTGTTCCTTCTTGTACTACAAAAAGGAGTTAAACTAGCTTACACTCAATGACAGAAAAAAATAACTTTTGGAGAACACATAATGAGTGGAGGGAAATGATGGATTAAAAAAAACACAGGCACTCAAAAAATGTTATATTCCATTTTCATTTCCACAAATGGTTTCAAAAGAGAATGCTACAATTTCTCACCATCAGAAGTGGCTAAATCTGTATCTCTAAGGAATTAGCCCCATCTGTCCAGCCACGTTTCACAATCAATGAACATTTGCAACTGCTGCAGCTGTTGAAGACCTCTGGGACAGAAAAATGCATATGTGAAGAATATCCCACAAGTCGGAAAGGAAATGAATATATTTTTGTTGTTTTTTTTTTTCCTTCTTTGTAGATATGTAAGAAAATGACTGTAGAATGCTGGCATTGTATCAAGAAAAACTTGATTTTTCTTCAAAAAAAAAATGCTTGCATATGAGAACCTTAAATTCATCTGCCTTATTTCCCAGAACAACCATGAAGACAGCTTCCAGTAAATGCAGTGTGAGGTCAGATAGCTCCCTTCACGGAGACCAATGCAAACATGGATGAATTGTTAAACGAATAAAGAAGAGCCATCTGGATGAGGTGATGGGGAGATCTGAAACAGACGTGTCATCGGAACCATTTCCTTGATAAATGTGGCTTCTGAGGTTGAACAATGCCAAGCATGCGGTGCGACTTCGGCGGTGTTCTCATCACCACTGAACCTGCAGAGCCTCTCTGAGCCTTATCTGAGGAAAGAGCTGATTCACTCAGTTTGGAGCTGGTAGCAAAGATCCACAGCTCTGACCCTGGAAGCAGGGGACTCAGCAGACCAGCAAGCAGACTGGGTTGAAATTTAATAGAGGTAGTCTAGACACTGAGGTGTCATAGAAAGACCAGGAAAGTTTGATCTTTCCACTCAAAACTGTCATTGTGTTTGACTCTGACATGGCCTCCATAGGCTCCTGTTTCGAGCGCTTGGTCCCCAGCTTACAGAGCTTGTTTTGAAACCTGTGCAGCACCTTTAAGAAGTGTGGTCTAGCCCTGCCCATAGTGGCACATGCCTTTAACCCCAGCACTCGATCGGGGGTGGGGAGGGCAAGGCAGAGGCAGGTGGATCTCTGTGAGTTCAAAGCCAGCCTGGGCTACAAATTGAGTCCAGGCTACACAGAGAAACCCTGTCTTAAAAAAAAGAATGATCTACCTGCTAGAAGCTGGTCATCAAGGGTGGACCTTTACACCTGCACCTGGTTCTAGAGAATTTTCTGTCCTCATATGGAATCCAAGGCTCATCTGCCACCAGGTCTTCCTGCCGTGACAGACTGAGCTCCCTCCAAACACGTAAGCCAAAATGAACCCTTCTTCATTTTGCTCCTGTCAGATATTTCAGTCTTTAGAGCAAAAGCGACTGAGACTCTTACCTACAGATAAGATGTGGATGCATGAGCGATGCCCGCGTTAGAGGACAAGAGTGTGAAAGCCGAGGGGGATGTGATAACAGAACCCTTCCTCGGCTCACTCGTGGGTCAGGCAGCAGCTGGATAAGTCCTTGCACGCCTGAAGTGTCTGGAGTATAATCTCTGCCTAAATTGTTGTCTGACTTCCACGATGAAGAGATGCTGGGGTAATCTGCATGGGGTCTACCTCAAATCTCTACTTCTGTTCTACCTACCCAGTGGCTCATTGTCACTCAACCATGGGCTCCACGTGGTTCGGGGGCACTTGGAGACAAGGAAAGAATCACTTAGAACACGGGTTACCTTAGTATCGGGAGCTAAAGGTGGGGTAATGATGGGCACACACCACAAAACACATGCCCAATACAGACTTACGGAACAAGGCAAGACAAGGCCCTTTGCTCCATGGCGAAGGAAGCAGAGCGGTATGCAGAGTGGAACTGCGCCCACACCAAAGACAAAGGCCCGGGGTGTTTAAACTGGACTATTCCTGGTGGGAGATAGACACAGTCAAGGATCCGCAGGTGTACAACCTCTGCTGGCTTTTAGTAAAAACAGTGACATTCCTAGAAAAAGGTCCTGCGTCAAGCGAATTCACCTAGTTACAGTTTCCTCTCTTCCAGCTTCTTGATGAGATGAGCCACCACACGTTATAACGACCCACTTATTTTTACACACATACGTCTGTGCCACCACCAGCAACTCAGGAGGGTCTCCGTTCCCAAGCCAACGCATCCGGGGACTGCTCTGTAGACACTTGATAGAAGTGAGAGAACTCAGCCAGGCAGTGGTTTTCATCTTTTGTTTGTTGCTGAGTGTGCGCACCTTTCTAGCAGTTCTTACGTAGCTATAAAGTAAAGCGGAAATGAGTATCTGCTTCCTGTTGGAATATTCTTATGACAGCAACGTAGCACAGGACACCAAAACCTTGGCTTCTGCCGGTCAACAAATGCACACCTTGGTTTCTTTCACGTTTGTTGTCGAGGGCGTTGGATTCTTCTTCTTCTTCTTCTTCTTCTTCTTCTTCTTCTTCTTCTTCTTCTTCTTCTTCTTCTTCTTCTTCTTCTTTTAACTACCCAGTTAAATGCCAAAATTTTATCTGCCACAGCTTCATCTGGCCGTTATTAGTGAGTCCAAAGTTATGAAGCATTTAAACAAAACAAAGAAATTCAAACCAGAAGAGAAAGCCTTCTTTTGAAGAGATCGGTGCTCATCTGTTTAAAATGTCCGTTTAATTTTATAAGTTTTCCCAGATAACTGTAGTTTTTTAAAAACCATGTACAGATTCCTGACCATATGTTAAGTGAGTTCGCCGCGGCACCTGCATAATGAGCAGGCACAGAACGGCAGTGGTCGGTGAGCCTGATGCGCCTTGCCATGAGTCCCGGCTAAGATCCCAGGCAAAGCTGCAGATTGTATGAGGTTCTTAGTAGACCCAAGAGTGGGAAGCTACATTGCACAAAGTGTTCTTGGTTGCTGTCCATATGCAGATTTCAGTTCTGCCTGTGGGTGTGTGTGAGCGCTTCCGTGCATGTGTGTGTGCACGTGCGTGTGTGAATGTGTGTGTTTGTCGAGAATAAGGCCCAAGACCCTGCACGTGGTGTGCAAGACATTTCACCAGCAAGCTACATTTTCAACTTTCAATAATACATATTCTTAAAAATCATAGCACAGTTTTAAGTTAACCGTAACACGTAGAAGACTTCTTCCATGAGATTCTTGCTGCACAAAGCTTTGGCTCTTTCTTTTGAGAACAACATACTGCATCCGTCAGTGTTTGCATCTCTCCGATGACTGAATCGCTTTATTTTGTTCACTAACTCAACTGATACTTTATTGGGTGACTAATAAATAGTATGTTCCAAGCACACAAAAATGAAAAAGATATATTCAGGAAACACAACTATGTAGAAGAGATGGAAATTAATTAGGTAATTCCAATAAAATACCATACAGATGTGAGTGTGAATAGTGTATCGGAGGATCAAGGAAAAGGAGAGAAGCTGAGAGCACTGAGAGGGCTTCCAGGGACTCTCTCTACCGTGGCCACCATCATCTTTGTATCCTGACTGGACCTGTAATCAAAGGGAAGTATGGAAACTAATGTATGTTACTAAGGGATTGGATACGCCGCTTGGCTAATAAAGTTTTTGTGCACAAGCAAGAGGACCCATGCTTGAGCCTTAGAACCCATGTAAGAGAGCTGGGCATGGTGGCATGCGTTGGTAATCCCAGCAACGGGGAAGTGGAGTAAAATCAATCCTTGGGACTCAGTGACCAGTCAGCCTAGGCAATAGTTGAGTTATCAGCTAATGAAGAGGCCTGACTTTTTTTTTTTAAGGATGGATTGTTATGCTGAAGAACAAAACACAAATACACAAATGTAGGCACACCCACACCTGAACAAAAATGAACATGCACATAGAGATACATATATGCATCATTAAATGTAATATAATTCCCAATCTAAACTTTAAAATAAAATTCATATAACGCTCTCCTTTCAAAAATTTTGAGTTCTCTCTTCCTCAGTCCTTCCCATCCCAACCCTCTCCCCTACCTGGTTCCCTCCCTCCATCTACCCCTGATGTCTATTCTATTTCCCCTTCTCAGTGAGATTGAAGCATCCCCCCTTGGGCCCTCTCTGTTACGTAGCTTCTTTGGGTTTGTGGATTGTGGCATGGTCATCCTGTATTTTCTGGCTACTGTCTACTTCTAAGTGAATACATACCATATTCACCTTTTCTGGGTCTGGCTTACCTCGTTCAGGATGATCTTTTCTAGTTCCATCCATTTGCTTACAAATTTCATGATGCCATTGTTTTAAATAGCTAGGTAAAATTCCATTGTGTACCACATTTTCTTTGTCCATTCTTTGATTGAGGGACATCAGCATTGTTTCTTGCTCCTGGCTATTATGAATACAGCTGCTGTGAACATGGTTGAGTAAGTGTCCCTGTGGTATGGCGGAGCACCCTGCAGGTACATGCTCAGCTGGGTCTTGAGGTTGATTGAGTCCCAGTTTTCTGAGAAACCACCAAGTTGATTTCCAAAGTGGCTGTACAAGTTTGCCCTCCCACCCGCAATGTAGGCATGTTCCCCTTGCTCCACATCCTCGCCAGCATGAGCTGTCACTTAAGTTTTTGATCTCAGCCTTTCTGGTGGGTATCAGATAGAATCCCAGTGTCTTTTTTAATTTGCATTTTTCTGATTGCTAAAGTTATGTCTAGTTCCCTGAGTTTTTTTTTTTTTACATATTTTGGATATCAGTCCTCTGTTGGATGGATGTGTGGTTGGTGAAGACCTTTTACCATTCTATAGGCAGTTGTTTTGTCCTTTTGATGGTGTCCTTTGCCTTAGAGATGCTTGTCAATTTCACGAGGTCGCATTTGTTAATTGTTGATCTTAGTGCCTGAACTATCAACATGCAGTTTTTATTACTTTTGCTCTGTGGTACAGCTGGAAATCAGGGGTTGTGAGGCCTCCAGAAAAACTGGGAGAGAGCTAGAATCAGTGAGAGTGAGAAAAGGGCATTTCTAAGACTAGCTAGAAACCTAGAACAATGGAGACTTTCACCCATCTACGAGGGTGACCACAACTAAGACTCTCAGTGACGGGAGATGCGGAGCCTGAAATGGCCATCTCCTATAACCAGCAAAGGCTTCCAATAGAGGGACTGGGACACCAACCAAGCCACCAACCTTAGAACCACATTTTGTTCTCCCAACACGATATGTAGGGGTAAAGATGGAGCAGAAATTGACAGAATGACCAACCAATGACTGGTCCACCTTGAGACCCATGCCATAAGAAAGAGCACACTCCTGTCACTGTTAATGATATTCTGCTATGCTTCCAGCCTCGCATAACTTTCATCTGAGAGGCTTTACCTAGAAACTGATGAACACAGACGTGAAGACCCCTAGCCAAACAGAAGACAGAACTTGGCGAATTCCATGGGAGAGAGGGAGGAAGGATTGAAAGGGCCAGAGAGGACAAGGACACCACAAGAAAACCTACAGAATCAACTAACCTGGGCACATAGGTACCCACAGAGACTGAACCACCCAACATATATAAGGCAGACCTAGGCCCTCAGCAGATATACAACAGTTATGCAGCTCAGTCCTCATGTGGAACTCCTAACTGCGGGAGCAGGATCTGTATCTGACTCTGTTGCCCACCTTCAGGTTCCTTTCCTTTAGCTGGGCTACCTTGCCTAGCCACAACAGGAGAAGATGTGCTTAGTCCTACTACAGCTTGATTTGCATAGATGGGTTGATATCCATGGGAGGCCTCCCTCTTTCTGAGCCTCTTCTAAGGAGACAGAGAGAAAGTAAGGACAATGGGGAGGTAAGATGAGAAGGAGGGACTGGGAGGAAAGGAGGGGAAAAACTGAGAGCAGGATGTAAAATTAATTAGTTAATTAATTAACTAATTAATTAAAAATATAAACATTTTTGAGGAGAAATAGCTCAGGATAAAAGTACTAAGATATGGTTTGGGGCTCAGATAGAGTAGTGTTACTGCCGTGTGTGTTTTCTCTCTAGTTTTGCTTACTAAGTTACCTAATAGCTCCAATATCTTGTCTAACAAGTCATCACTTTTATTATTATAAGATGATACATTTTAATCTGACTAATTCTCTCCTTAATTTATTCTCTTGCCCTTGGATCTCCAGGCTGATACTTCTCTGTACTCTGTTCATAGAAGACATTTATTGCCCCTTCAACCAGCGGGCCAGCTCCATGTGAGATGTGGGTTATAATTTATGTCCTTGCTTAGAAGGAGGACGAATGGGAGATGCTTGTCATTTTATGGCTTTGTTGTGGGACTCGGCCATGAATTATGGTTAAATATTATCTCATTCTCGAAAGGAAGTCATGAGCCACTTAGCCTCTGACACCTAAGTGACAATGGTGAGCAACTAGGAGAAAAGCCTTGCCATGAGACTGAGGCCTGGTTTTCTGAACCAACTTGAAAGAGGAGGCTGTTGCTTGCCTTGAGCCATGCTCCTTGAATTAGTGTTTTGTTCATCTCCTGCTCTACTAATGTGGGAACTTAGGGTTGCGGTCCCTTTCAACAGATTAGATACCGGTGCTGTTTCTCATTAAGCTGTTGATTCCCTGCAGCTGTTGAAAAATCTTCAAATTAACATCAGAGAAGCCAAGCTTCCCTAGTAATATGTTTCTTCTGGAGGACTGCACATAAATAATAAATCAACTCACACCCCCAGCCAATTTGGCAAGGTGAACGTTATCAAGTTCAAGTTGATATCATTCTCATTGCAAAAGGTCTACTGGACAAGAGATCTTGCTTCCTTCCTTAAAAATTAGCATTAAGAATGCTCTTTTTTGTATGACACTGTGGCACCTGCTTGTAATTTGAGCACTTGGAAGCCCGAGACAGGAGGGATACAAGTGAGAAGCCAGGGAGGGCTATGCGTCAAGTTCGAGGCCAGGCTGACCTACACAGTGAGTAGTGAGATCCTGTCTCAAAAAGACAGAAAAGAAAAAGGAACAACAACAACAAAAAAAAAATGTTTATTTTGAGGTGAGAATAGTGGATTAAAATACAGATAGAAATGACATAGCCATAATGGGTGGTCTTGTTTGTCATGTTCTATAGACTAAAAGAATAAGAAAATGGGGTTAAAATGTGCTACGGGCAAGAGCTGCACAAAATGAGGCAAGCAACATTTCATCATGGCTTGAGGAGGAGCTGATGGGGATAAACTTACAGGGAATGACCTCTGGTAGAGAAAGAATGATGTTTATTCCCCATGGTATGGCTGTGGTAACTTCACTATGGTCTGTAAATAACACTCCACCCACACTCATGCAAGCAATAGTGATTAAACTCAATGGGTCCCAGAAATATAAAATTCAACCCAAAACACGTGAAAGTGGGAACCAAAACTTACTGGGAGGAAGAAAGAATTCAGAGGCGAGAAAGTAGTGGGATGTTCAAATGACCAAGACACGTTATACACCTGTAAACCCACAAGTCGAAGCTGGGTCTTCAGAGCACTGGTGAGAAAACAAACAGGGCCTTGCAGCTGCAAGATAAATGTTTGCTCCTTTTTGCTGCCTCTGTGCACATCTGTGCCAGGTGAAATTACATGGAATGCATCTTCTCTCTGCCTTCTGGAAGCTTACAAAGTCAGGCATCCTCTGTGAAAAGGGCGGTGAAAATTTGTAGGTTTGACTTCAGATAACCCCCACCTTCATTGGGCTACTATCTCTCCCAATGTAGCTCTATCTGGGAGTCAGAGCCTTAATCTCCCCTCTAGGGAACCCTCTCCCAATAAAGCTTTCTTCAGGGACAGTTTTGTGCCAGCTCCTTTCCCAAATGGCTTCTTGTTTTTCTTTTTTTATTTGTAACAATGCAACAAGACAGGAGCCTACCACAGAGGGCCTCTGAAAGACTCTACCCAGCAGGGTATTGAAGAGGATTCTGAGACTCATAGCCAAACTTTGGGCCGAGTTGAGGGAATCTTATGAATGATAGGGGAGATAGAAAGACCTCAAGAGACTGGAACTCCACAAGGAGAGCAACAGAACCAAACAATCTGGGCCCAGGGGTCTTTTCAGAGACTGATTCTTCAACCAAGGACCATTCATGGATATAACATAGTACCCCTGCACAGAGGTAGCCCATGGCAGCTCAGTCTCCAAATGGGCTTCCTAGTAAGGGGAACAGGGGCTATCTCTGACATGAAATCAGTGGCTGGCTCTTTGATCAACAACTCATGAGGGGGTAGCACCCTTATCAAGCCACAGAGGAAGGCTATGAAAGCCAGTCCTGATAAGACCTGATAGGCTAGGGTCGGATGGAAGGGGCAGAGGTCCTCCACTATCAGTGGACTGAGGAAGGGGCATGAGAGAAGATGAGGGAGGGAGGGCATGATTGGAAGGAGAGGAGGGTGGGGCTACAGCTGGGATACAAAGTGAATAATTTGTAATAAATAAAAAGTTATATTTTTAAAAAAGGCAACCTTCTTTCTCCCCTACCTCTGTTCACTGGGTTGGAAGAGAAGTAGAGTGTTTAAGAACCTCAAATAAAGTAGATTTTTGAAAAATCTAAGCCTACATTTTTATATTTGGGTCATGTGACAAAGGCTCACTGCAATATCTTTAAAGAAAAATGTCTATTATGTG